GGCAGCGCTACCGCGGGGGGGGCGGACCCCCCTTGCAAGAGTTGATAGTGAAAATGCAAATTTTGTTGATCAACAAAATGGTGGTTTCCCATATTGAGAATTTTGTTGATCAACAAAATTTCGATTGACATTTTTATTGATCAACAAAAAAATCAAAAAAAATGTTGATCAACATTTTGGCCAATTTGGGCCTTGGGCGGTGTATCTCTTTTTTGTCAACAGGCCATCAAATATTTGACTGAATATTTCTTTTGGTCATCTGAAATCCAACTGCTCCCTGGCACTCTGAGGCCTAGCATTGGGTGACGATTGGAGGCCACAGTGGGGCTTCAACCAGATCACGATGTGGGTTTTCATCTTGTGTTGGCTTGCATGGACTGGGAATCTCTTCAAGTGGATGGGGCCAACATTTGAATTTGGAATGATTGGGGCACCCATTCTTTTGGCACATGCCCATCGGTTTGATGACGCAAGTTGACCCAGTCGCGAGAATGTAGACCCTCTGCAACTGAACCCTGCGAGAAACTCTGCAGGGTTTTCAGAAGGTAGATTGGATTCATGGTCAAACGCGCTACCACCTCATTCGCAACATACCCAGTGGAATTGCCCCTGCTTTACATTCTCAGGTGGGCTGCCCTTGCCTGCAGATTGGAGGCCTATGCAGGTGCCTCCCTTTGTGGGTGCTTCAATTGCACCATATAGAAAAATGTGAGATGTTGTAGAGCAGTGGCAACTTCAGGATTCTCAAAAGCAAACCATCATTTCTTTGTGAGCATTGCAGGACATGCCAGGCAGCATGGTTTGAAACACCATGCACTGAATCTTGCCCTGATGTGCTCAGACATCATGCACTGACTGTGGAGTCTGCAGATTCGTCGCAGGCTTTGTCGCAGAGTCTCTGATCTCGCGACTGTGTGGCTCGTCCTGGCCCAAGACAAACTGAAGGATTGGATGCCCCACCACGAGATGGCGTCAAGTGAATGGATGCCCCACCTCATTCCTCAGTCAAACAACTAGAATCACCAATCAATGTTGTGTTAAGAGAAGTCGTTTCGACACGAGGCTGTAGGCTCTACAGGTTTGCAAGGGGGTTGGAACACAGTGTGATCATCCAACATGTGCACCGATCAATGGACACAAGGTTCAATAATGAATCGACAGACATAAGCACCAAGAAATGTGTTTTGTTCCAGCACATGTCCTCACCAGGCTGGAATGCTGCCAACTTGGATTGCGAGGCGGGCAGCGCTGTGGGACTCCCCACCTTTGTGAATCACTGCAGAGTTGTTGCAAGCTCGCATGGTTGGGTTGCAGAACTTTAGATCTCGCAACTATACAACTAGATATGTTGGTTCAGGTGTCCAAGGGCTGGCGTGGCTTCAGAAGCCATTGTGATGCAGAGGCCTGCAATCTGAGTATCACAATAGATCTCTAAACTTTGCAAGGTCTTTGGATGCTTGTGCACAGTGTGCATTCTTGGTCGCACTGCTTTGTATACCGAACAAACAGATTACCAAGATTCGATTGTTTTGGTTGTATACATTGGCAACTTCAGGATTTGCAAAAGCTAGTCTTTATCAACATAGCAGGGCATCAGTATACATAGACCCAGTCGCGAGAATAGGCTCTCTGCAACAGAACCCTGCGAGTCACTACAGAAACTCTGCAAGGTTTAGAGGTGGGTCTCTATATAGATTCGTCGACATAACAAAACTGAAACTGTCGATGAAAGTTCCATGGATTGTCATGATTCAGTCATTCAAACATCCTGCAGTGCTCGCCAGCTCGCAGGACTACTTGCAGAGGATTGCAATCTCCCAGGTGGGAAACCTATAGAATATGAGTTTCATGAAGGTGACGACATTCAAATGGCATCAAATTCGAATGTTGTCAGTCTTGCCAGACATCAGATAAGTGAATCTTAGTTTGATGTGCTCAGAAATTTGGATGTTGTAGAGCACTGGCAACTTGAGGGTTTGCAAAGAGCCAGTCTGCATGAGCAATGCAGAACATGAAATACTTGAAACGTGTTCTGATGTTCTCGGACTGTGCTGGTTGTGAAGTCTGCAGATGTATCGCAGACTTAGCCGCAGAGACACTGATCTCGCGACTGTGTGGCTCATCAGCTTTTGTTTTGGCATCCATCCAGCCAGTTGCTTTTCTTCAGCACCCACTTGCCATCATGTCGATGTTCCAAAGCACCCACTTGCGCCTTTACAAGTGGAAGCACGTTGGAACTGCTCGCGACAGCGAGTGGCTTCTGCTAGATCAGAGTGGCCAAGTGTTCTTCGTAAGAAGAACGAAGACACAGCGCTTGGCCATTGGAGCACAAGGGTCATGGGCCATGCAGAATGGGAGGTTGCATCTGAAGGAGTTCGCATGCACCCCTGGTGCCACCTTGCGAGACCACGACTTCAGCGTGGTCAAAGCTGAGCACTACGTCGATGGCAACAGGCGACTCCTTCACGTCGCTGAGATTGACCGCTGGAAGGGTACCATCGCATGGTCTCCCACGGTGCGAGGATTCACCCGTGACCAGTGGCTCTACGTGGTCCAGAAGGTCAAAGAAGAAGTGTTGGACTTCATCGGGTGCGCCCACATCACGGTCGACACCCAGGAGGCCAGTGAGTGGCAACTGTTGTTTTAAGCTCCCGAAGGGATGAATCGTCGGTTCCTTGTGTCCCTGTGGATTTGGAGCTGACTTGAAACTTTTACCTTGCCGGGCCCAGTTTTGATTGGGTCGACAGGCCGCTTTGTGAACAAAAAAGGGATTCGTGATTCATCTGCTTTCATGGACAGTGTGGCGATACGTACACGTGATTTTTTTTGGTGCCATCACACACACACACATATATGTTGTGCTATATGGACCTGTGTGCAGGTGGAACGATGATGATGATGATGATGATGATGATGATGATGATGATGATGTGCACCCTTCAATCTTAAGTCGTTTTTGAAATTGGCAAACTACATGGCAACACATGTGAAACTTGATGAACAGAAAGTGTCTTTACGCACTGGGATCTTTGACTTGCACAAGAAATGCTTGATTGAATTTATTGTTGACCACTTCTTCTGCATGCCAAAGGGTTTGAGCGACCCTTTTGATGCAATTCACTTCCTTGAAGTTGCATTACTTGACCAATTGTCGAATGCATCATCCTTGTTTTGACATCGGAGTGTGTTTGAAACAAGAAGTGTATAAGACTGCCAAACAAGCCCTGCAGATTTTTGTTCAAATAAATCGCAGGGTTCAGTTGCAGGGGTACTACCTCGCAATTGCATTGGCAAGAAAGACTTTTGGCCCAGACACCTCGCATATAGTGTTCAACTATCACCTTGCTGATCCAAGCATGGCTGGAGCTGCCGAGTATGTTTGGGGCATGGTGATCATTGGAACCCACCGCCTCCAGAGCCACTTGCAGCTGAGCGAGGGAGTGATGACGTGCACGATCCCTGACAAGGACTTCCAACATGTGCCGCCAAGGCAGGTGGAGAGACTGGAGGCCCATGAGGATATCTTCATCCTTGGCAACGGGTATCCAGCCCTGCGCTACTTGCTGGTGTGCCGCAGCGACGATGGGCAGTCGGTCCTTTTCCGGGGACCGGCAGCGATGGCAGATTGCATCTACTGCAAGAAGATGCCGCTGAAAACCGTGGTCATTAAGCTGACTGGCCACTTGGAAAATCGCCCTGACTGGGATCAGCCCTTGATCCGCTTCAAAGCCTGGATGGCAGCGTCGGGCGAGTGTTTGAAAGCCGACGGGTGGCTGTTGCCGTCTTCGGATCGGATCTATCCAAGGCAGATTTAAGACCTTGCGCGACATCACATCAAGGATTCCCATGGACCAAACGTTGAGTGGCGATTCATTGGCAGGGCCATGAACCTCTTGCCGCCGATGACTCCCCTTTGGGAGCCTCGCTGCACAGAGGTCACGCCAAAGATGAGGCTGTGGAGCAAGATGGTGCCACCTTGCGTGCGCATGTACAACTCCATTGACATGGACATGTGATGGCTTCGAGCTGCCTGCCAAAGATGGATTGGCAGCAGCATTTTGTCAAATCAAATTGTGGGATTCCCATGCATAAAAACAGGCATTTGGCCACCCTCGCAAAAGGAACCATGGTTTCGCATCATATGAGCAGAGTTGTTGTTTCAACGCATTCTGGGATGCCCATCTATAGATCAGTTTTTGCGTCACCGCCGTGCTTGACGTGAGAAAAAGACTCCAGCCAACAAGCTTCACTTACAGTTGACAGCAAACAAATGTTCAAACAATATCTTCCTTGACAATCATCCCAAAATAATCCAAAAAATGCTTGATGTCAAAGCTGCAAGAATTCTTGCGGTTATTTAGCTTGGACTTCCTGCGAGGATTCTTTCTCTGCGGTGCCACTGCGAGTTGCCACTCTGCAGAGACGAAGCGAGACGCACGGTGCCCGTCATTTGCATACTTGTTGACATTAACTTATAGTTTTGACTAAGCCCCATTTTGTATGCAAAACGCGATGCAAAACGCTCTGCAGGTCAGCAATGCAGGTGAATGATCTGTGAAGCCTTTTTTTGGTTGGGAACCCCAAGTCGCCGGTGAATTCTGGAGTTTGATTTTTTCTGCAGCATTCTGGAGTTTCTCTACGACATTTCAAACATTGGTTAAATTGTTGGTATCAGAAATATGTATTGGCATCAGGCCATTCACCATCCAAGTTTTCCAGCACAACAGCTTTGTGGCAACGTGTCTAATTGCAAACCACCTGATGCAGCAGAGTCATGTCCTCGCTGCATCACTGAGCAGAGCTGCGTGCTCGCTCTATAGCGGATCAAGTCCAACGCTCAACACAGTGAGAGGCATCCTTCCCATACAGCAGAACACCACAAGATATACCAATGTGACTGTTTAGTAAAGTGTTTCTTTTGGAAAGGTTCAATAAATGTTGTCAACATGTTCGCTCTTTTGACACCACACTTTTCGATGCCGTTCTTGCATCTCTGAGCAATGACCCTGGCAGATTTGGGCCGCAAAAAATTTGTTTCACAGAGTGCTCTCAGCGAATTGCTGAAGGAACTGAAATCATTAGATGAACTGCCTGCTGCTACATCCAGATCCAGCGTCAAACGTGCCCGGGATGAGAAGATGAAGATCCATACGCCAGTTGGGCCCTTATTTACAACCAGAAGTCTGGCTGCGAACGATGGTGCAGGCCACATGCCAAATGATTATGTTTGCATCGATTTGATGATTGTTTGTTCCATTTGGTTATCACGGGTATGATCGATGACATGTTTCAAGTTTCTTCATATATGATCTGTATACCAGACTCTGCAGGTGATGTTGAATGCACCTTTGTTGACCCTTGTGCGCTCTTGTGGCACCTCTGCAGAAATTCTGAATCATTTAGTGGCTTCATGGAAGCAGAGATGGCTCGCATTCCGACTTCTCAGTCCCAACCATGGTCGTTGGTACTTTATTCGGATGAAGTGAGTCCGGGGAACTCGCTGAAACCGGACAACCGGCGTAACTCCTGCACTGAAACACCAGTATTTTTTTTGGTACTGTTTGTATGTTTCTTAGATGTTTGATGTGACATGATGTGACCTGAACTTATACCAAGTCCTATCAGGTAAGTTCTACGCATACTATTGGTCACTGATCCAGCACGGTCAGCGTGGCTTAACCAGGGAAGATTTGTGGCACACAGTATCTATAGTTCGCAGCAACAACGTGGGAAGGCTGCAGGGAGGTGTCAGTTGTTTGACGAAGGTCATCACCCAGCTCTTTACTCCTCTGGAATCAGGACTCCTTCTCACACTTCACAGTGGACGCAAAGTCTTCTTGTTTGGACGCCTTCGGTGTCTCATCGGAGACGAAGCCGCCTTAAAGGCGATGTGGGCTGTCAAGGGAGCAGCTGGTACCCTGCCCTGCCTGTTCTGTTGGAACGTAGTGCAGGCCCGAAGCGACCTCCATCTGTCGGATCCCAGCGGCACTTTAGTCCCCCACACGTGTTTTGACATAGGGCAGCTGCAGCTACGAACCGATGCTGAATTGGCCGCAGCGGCCTTGATGTTGTCATCTGAGAAGCCACTCCGTACAAAGAAAGCTTTTGAGACCCTGGAACAATCCCTAGGGATAAATTTCAATCCCGACGGTATGCTTTTCCATCCGGACTGTCCTCTCAAGCCCATTGAGCACACTATGTTTGACTGGCTGCATGTATATCTTGTCAATGGAATATTTCAATGTGAAATCAATTTGCTGCTCCCTGTTCTCGCGGCAAATGGCCGAAGTCATGCAGCTCTTTGTCAGTTTATGAAATCTTTCCAAGCTCCACAAGATCAGAAGTCGAATCTCACCGGTGCCATCAAAACCTTTGAGAAATCCAAGACAAAAGACGGTTGGAAACCCTTCGCCAGTGAAGTTTTGTGCACATACCCATTGCTCAGGCTGTTTGTCATGGATACTGCGTTTGTCCAGGAAGGACATATTCTGATGGCCTCATCCTTTCTACTCCTCTGTCGAATATTGGATCTGCTTTCCATGATCGGAAAGGATGTGCAGGTAGATGCTGTGACGTTGGAAGGTCTGATCCAGCGTCATCTGACAGCGTTTAAGAACGCTCACGGTGAAGACGAACTTGTGCCCAAGTTCCATTATGCTCTACACTTACCGCCCCTACTAAGACAGCATGGCCTTCTCATATCATGCTGGACGCATGAACGCAAACACAAATCGCTCAAACTTTTCGCGAACCAAGTTAGCAACGCCGGAACTTGGTACGAGATGTCGGTCTTGCGAGAAGTGACGCACAGTGCCATCAACTGCATCCTGGACTTCAAACCCAGCGACATCAGGTTGCAGAAGCCAAAGCCATCCAGGAAGATGAAGTGCGCAATCCTTGAGTTGGATTTTTTAAGGTGCATGGATGGTGCTTTTGTTGCCACTGTGGCAGACATTCACGGCTTGACTTGTCATGCAGGTGATGTGGCACTGCTACGTTTGGACGGTTCCGAATGTGTTGGGCGCGTGCATTTACACGCAGATCTTAGCGGAGGCATCCTCTGGAGTGTAGTCAGTATTTGGGAAGCCATGGGCAACAACAGATTCAAAATCACTTCCCATGGACGATGGGTGGAGACCAGGCATCTTGTCTTTGGAGTATCATTATCTTTGAACATCTCCCGAAGCTGGACAATTGTATTTCAGTTCTTATATATATATATATTGGTTGAATGCCATTGGCGTTTTTTTGGGTCAACATACCATCTTTGAACATCCATTATATATTGATATGAAAACTGAATCATACTCAATTTTTAGATACCATTATATATTCCAAATACAATTCATATTGCTGAGGTCTATTCTGCGTACGCTTTACCACCATGACGAATCCGATGGTCTGCACGCGACAGTCGCACCATGAAGATTTTGAGAATGTACCTCTGAAGACATTTTGATGCCAATTTCAAACATCAGCTGCCAGAAAAAAGTCAGGTAGCATGCAGAAGTCACGTGTCACTGTCAGGGTTGTGAACCATGTCAGCAGGTTGCCCACGGTGCAAGCACTTGCGTGATATAGGGTTTGCTTCAGATCACCTTCCCCTGCTTATATGTCCAGTGAATACAAATTACTGAAAAAAAAGGAATTGAAAAATATAAGTATCTTTGTTTGTTCAAATCGATTTACATATATGCCCCACAGCTGCATCATTGTATCGGTTCCTGTTCGTTCCTGCATGCCAGGCTCGTGGATGCATCGATCCCGCAGAGGTGCGAACTGTCATTTGTTGGTGGCAGCTGACACATCGAGAAGTGGACAGTGCAATTACTGTTTGTCGATATGTCCGGCAGTGCTTCAACGGCTGCTTGACACTTGCACAGCAGAGATGTCGCTGTGCGCACTTTGCAGAGTTCAACTCGCAAAGCACTTGGAGCCTCATGTTCCCATAAAAGCAAGGGATGGCCCATTGCTTGCAGCTGTGGCTCAAAGATTTTGCAAAGAAACAGTATAAGGTGTATACATATAGAATTTCATGGCGACCCTTTTCTCTGATATCAAGGCTGATATCACTCACACCCAGGCCTTGGTCCAAGCCCAGGTGGACACGCTGGGTCACGACGAATCATTTGACCGTCAACAAGTCCTTGGGGTACAGGCTGAGAATTGCAAGCGTCACCTTCGGCAGCTGAAAACCATTTCCGCAGAGGAATGCTTTGAGCTGCAGGACCTCATCTTCAAGGGTCCTTGGAGTGCAGAGATGAAGACCAGCATGGTCAACATCCTGAACGATGCTTCCCGAGATGAGGGTGGGACCGGAAGCGAGGGCAAGCAGTATTGCCCAGCATTTGTGGCATTTCTGAGCAAGAGTGATGTTCAGAAACTAAACGATCCAGACATGGGCAACATGATGAAGATTCAGGTCCTGGCAGAACGCACCCTGAACATTGGCTTCTTCAGGCCAACTGAGCCGGGGTACAAGATCATTCTTGCTGCCGGTTGTGCCAATGGCATGACGGTGCAGCCAAGCGAGAACCTGCCCTTCATCAACGAGTTGAAGCGCTTGGTCCGTGGAGGTGCGAAGAAGCGCCCCAAGCCCAGCCCATGGTTGCTCAGGTTTCCCAACCAGCCAAGTGAACTTCCTCCTGCTCTCTTGGAGTCAGCATATGCTGCTGACGACCCACCAGTGTCTCTTCAAAACGTGGCAGAGGCAGCTGCCTTGAAAGCATCCGTAGATCTTGGGTGCCGCAAGTCAAAGAAGGCATTGCATGAAAAGACAGAGGCTTCCTCTTGGTCTATGGTTCCAGCCACTCCTGCTTCGGCAATGGGCGCAGGCATTCAGATGGGAATGCCCGGCAACATGCAGAACCAGATGCAGGGAATGCAGGGGATGCTCCAGATGTGCCAGATGATGGCCTCAAATCCAATGCTGTTCCAGATGATGAACATGATGGCAAACAGCGGGCAGCAAGAGATTCCCATCACCATGATTGGGAAGCGAAGTGACCGTGCATCGCCCTCATGCCCTGGCACACCAGCATCGTCTCCGAAGAATGACTCGCAGGAGCAAGAGGTTCCGCCCAGTGAACCTGAAGCGAAGGCCGCGGAGGCACCGAAAATTCCTTTGTTCGATTTGGGTGCGCCAGACGAGAAAGACTTGGAGTCAGATCTTCAGAAAAAGGCTCAATCGATGGTCGCCAGCCAGGCGAAGGTTATGGAGAGAGCCCTCGAAGAACGGGCCATGAAAAAACCAGCCACATGCAATCCAAAGGCAAAGGCCAAGTCGACCGCAAGCAAGTCAGAGACGAAGGCAATCAAGAAAGATCAGGAAGGCGGTCTCAAAATGGATCGCAAAAACATCCACTCTCGCACGTACACAGCGGCGAAGCTCAAGTTCTTGAAGCAAGGCTTCAAGTTGGAGGACGCAGTTGAGAAGGCAAGTGCGGTGGCGGCAAACGAGCTGAAGAAGCACGGCTTTGTGCCCCATCCAAAGAACCGGCCAAACAAGAAGAAGTGAGAGCTGCCGTAGATAGGTCCGGTGCGCCTCCTGTATGAAATGGCAACGTCACGCCATTGCAGCATCACATGCCGTGTTCCTTCGGAAAGGAGCTGCATACCATTTCAGTCCAATCAAAAAAGATCTGACCGTGTGGGCTTGCAAATTTGAGTACCTGTTTTTTGTATAGTTGCCAACATGTGCAATCACAATCTATCGCTGCCACGCGATCCGCAGGATCATTGCATGGTTGCAGCGACTCGATCTGATTTTTATACCATGTCAAACCTGGCTGATCTTAATAACCCCTTGACACGATCATTCAATCATTTCACCGCATTACCTTGAACTTGCGAGAGCAACCTCTCTGCAAGAGATGACTGCGAGCATGGCTCTGCAATCACGATCGCTGCATGCGGCAGGTGTGCATGGCATCAAGCCACATGCAGGCCGTTGTATGGGTGAAGCCTGATTTTTATATGTTGCAGCAGACACACTCAGGCGATGAAAACTTGATGCATTCGACATGTTTGCACGTGGGCTGCATGAATGATGATTTTGACAGCAGATTTTTTTGTCTCGGGATAGCAAATCCCTGCAGGGTCAATTGTATAAACGATGCACTTGTCCAAACATCTATGTTAGTTTCAAATACCTGCAGCATTCAGGCCCAATCTCACTTCAAACATTTAAACCTGCGGTGATCGACCATGGCAAAAGGACAGTTGCTGGTTCGCCCGTTGGCCTTCTTAAATAAGCTCTTGCGGAAACCTACCCAATCCGAGAAGAAACGCTGGCTCCCTCACAAACCCTGCTACTGGGGAAAAAATGTCCGCAGAAAATTTGGAGAAAAGCTGGTGCAGCTCGAATGCATTATTCATATACTGTACTTTTGTATAGGGTCAATATGATTCGGTATTTTTTATGTGCATTTTTTAATGTATTTAATAAATACGTACATCCCCCATATACATAAAGGAAACGATTTTGCAGTATTGAGAAAATATCATATAAATAAGAAAGGCAAAAGAAGCGATATAATCCCAGCCACTTGAGGAATGAGATCGCAGAGCTGCTCGCGAAACACCGCCCGGGCAGAAAAATTGGTTTTTGGGAAGCTGAGTCCAAGTCGAACTTGTGCTTGAAAAAGGGCATGAAGCGATGACCAGAAAGCGCGCGCAGAAAATTGTTTCCACTCGCGGAGAAGCATTTTTTTTTTCAGACATGGAACTCACAGAGCGCATGAAAGAACACGCAACCTTTTGTGCACTGATGATCTATTTGTTGTTTTTTTTGCAGGTGCTATATCATCACCTCCAAGCGCACCAGGCTGCAATTATTTCACCCGAGCAATGAACAAAAACACATGTTCACAAACGTTTTTTTAAAATAGGCTTTCGCCTTTCATTCTCTAGTTTCACATGGGATATGGTTTTTATCATTATTCTCCTCTAGTGAAAATAAAAATATCAACTTCTCGTCAAAAAAATATCTATTTTTGTATTCATCATTCTTAAATTCAGTGCCCCTAAATCCATAAATCCACCACCGCTAAGTCAGACTTAGTAGAGTTAGCTGAGATAGCGTAATTGGTCTAAGTCAGACTTACGAGTTACATAAGTCTCACTTAGCAGAATTACTAAGTATGATTTATCACAGTTACTAACCCACGTAAGCCCAACTTAGCTATGTCACATAACACAGCTAATTCACATATTAAATCGCCTAATACTTACTAACTTTAATAACCATTTACCAAGCACCATGAACATCCAAGTATGAATGGAAGTTTTAATGGGAACATATTCTATAAATAGTGGATTTTCCATTAACACGTTTGAGCACAGGAGATTGGAGGAGGGTAAAGGGTAAAGTCATTCTGGGGTGGTTTCCCTTTCTGACCATCACGTCGATATGCGACCAACACCCAGATGTTTGTCCGTTGTTTCACGCCCAGGTTTACAATCATCCAAAATTCCACATTTCTGTAGGCTATCCGCATTCCATATATCATATACATTGATATGCGTTATTCGTCATTATCTGTCTAATCCTTTCCCGTCTTTTGATGATCAACATGAAGATTCAGGATTTGCCCAATAAAAACGGAGAAAAATCAGTATCACATCTGGGGGTTTCCCACAGTCATTCTCACCATTTTTAGCCCAACTCAACCCATTTTTCGCCCTATTCTTTCGCCTTCTTTTTTAAACGCCAATTCTGTGCATTTAAACCTTGATGAAAAGCACGTCTACACCCCGATTAGTTAGTTATCCTACTGTGGGTGGTTGCGGCGAAATCCGATAAACTACCAAAAAATGGGATGGTTGGAAAAACCTATAAAAAATGGGATGTTTACCACCTACCCGGCCTGGTAAACGTTAACAAAAAACGAATTGGAAAGATCCACCATGCTATTAATGGAAAAATCCACTATAAATGGCAATGTTCAATAGCTATGTAACAAATTACCAGAGGGTATACTTTATTAACTGGTGCAGGATTTGGCAACCATCCACAGTATGTTATGTTTTTATACCACCATTTTCTCTAACAAAAAAAGGGGTGCAGTCGCAGTCCGGCAGCTGGCTTCTTTTTTCAGCTTACACCGCTGGAAGTAGGTCGGCCTCCTGACCAACGGCAGTCGTTGCCAGAAAAATAGAATTGCCGCTTGAACCAACAAACAGTACCAATCTTAGATACCCAAAGAATTAGATTCTTAGCTGGTGAGTAGATAATCCCATTCATATCAAAAGACTAAAAGATTAGTTTCTACCCATCTAAGATTGACCTAGCAAAAATGATATCCCTCTCGGTAATTGGTGGGGGGGTGGGACCACAGGTTTTTTTTAAATTAAATGGGGTCCCCTGGAGTATGGTTTTTCCAAAATTCTTCAGTCAAACATACCCTCCGTTTATTTTGAACATAAGAAATTAATCCAGCACAATCCAGTTCAGGTCCCCCCAACTAAAAATTAAATAATTAAGCTACTTGACAGCACCTGGTTTAATTTTACAGGATCATCGAGTACTGGTTTGGCTCCGTGAAGACGATCCGGCGTGGACAGCAAGGTTCTTGCACAGTTGGGAACAGCATTGCAGCCCAAATGCTGCATCTCAAGCAGAGCAAGTCATGGGAAAGGCGCTGCGGGACCATGGTAAACTGTTTCTATCTGTTTCGGGCCCCTTGTGTGATCCCAGATCAGGTCAGAATGATTAATCAAGGGGTGGGTGAATCCATACGTACTGAACATTCATTCATCAGGACACCTTTGGCACCATAATATTCATGGGATTTATGGGCACCAGAATAATTAAACAAGGGGTGGGTGAGTCCACATGTACTGGGCATTCAGGATCAGTTCTTCCATTGGGGCACCCCCAACACCATAATATCATACAATATCCATGGCATTGATGGTCACCAACATAATTAAGCAAGGGGTGTGTGAGTCCACATGTACTGGGCATTCAGAAAGATTCATGTATTGGGATACCTTTGGTGTTATCATGATTCATTGTTTTTTCTTGAATTTTCATCTTTGGTCATCACAAAGGAAGGAACCCTGATGGAATGTCATTGGACTTGCTACTTTGGGATTTATTTTGACACCTGTTTGGTGTGCGTGTGTGTTCGGTGTGCAAGTTGATCATGGTGGAGATTCCATCAGGGTTCCTTCCTTTGTGATGACCAAAGATGAAAATTCAAGAAACAACAATGAATCATGATAACACCAAAGGTATCCCAATACATGAATCTTTCTGAATGCCCAGAACATGTGGACTTATCCACCCCTTGCTTAATTATTTTGGTGACCATCAATGCCATGAATATTATGGTGCCAAAGGTGTCCTGATGAATGAATGTTCAGTACGTATGGATTCACCCACCCCTTGATTAATCATTCTGACCTGATCTGGGATCACGCAAGGGGCCCGAAACAGATAGAAACAGTTTACCATGGTCCCGCAGCGCCTTTCCCATGGACTTGCTCTGCTTGAGATGGAGCATTTGGGCTGCTGCAATGCTGTTCCCAACTGTGCAAGAACCTTGCTGTCCACGCCGGATCGTCTTCACGGAGCCGTGCTAGGACACGTGTCACGAACCATGGCTGCAGTATCCCGAGGCGGAACACGAGGCAGCACAATGAGCTAAAACAGCTGAAACTAAACCATGGGGTGGGTCACATCTCAAAATTAAACCAACTCAACTTTCTTCAGAATCTTAAGGAGGTGGGTGGACCCCCTGTTTTCGTAATATTTTTAAAATTAAACCAAAAAAATTAAACCTAACTCAGTGTACCCCTGGTTTAATTTAGCTAGTGCAAGGGATATCAAAAATGGTGCTTTACAGTTGGTTTATGGTGATATAGTTCACTAGCCTCACCAACAAAATGGTGATAAAGATAGTTGAACCAACATATGTTAGCTAGCTTGGTTTAGGTTAGTTCAGTTCTGTCCTATTGATGGGTTTATGGTGGTGTGGGTAAAAAAGCAACAAACATAGCTGGGTGGGCACTACCTTGAAAGGATCCTGAAGGGTGTTTGTTGACTTTCACGGTACTTTTACCATTTTTTTTTACCAAGAATCAACTGCAGATGTTCTATCAAGCTTCCTGCTTTCCAAGAATCTGAGGTTGAATGGCCCCGACAACACAGATGCTTGTCTTTCAAACTTGTTTGTTGTTATTTTTCGCATCAATTTCTGGTGGGAACTCATTGGCTTCAGTAAGATCTCTTTGGGAGACCGTTCAAGTTTCAGTTAGCCAGTTTTGTGGTTCGCCAGGCAGTCGTTGGTTTTTTGACAAATGGCATTGGCTGATAGGATTTATGGTGATGAAAAACTTACCCGGCCTGGTAAACGTTAACAAAAAACTATGGAAAAAACACATTCTCTAATAATTAATCAACGAACTATGTATGGCCATGACTTCAATAGCTATGTAAACGTTTGCCAGAGGGTAGGTGGTTCATGAACCACCAACATACAGCTGGGTTTGCGGTTTGCCACATGTCCTAGTGAATCATGTTGTTACCTCACTGCGATGTCACTAGAATGATGTGACACTGTAGGGCAACCATCCCAAAAATGCCGAACTCTTCAGTTTGGTCAATTATGATAACTCAGCACAGTTATGGCCCGAAATACCAGTTTTTAGTACTAACAAAACCCTATTTATGCAATGTATGATCCCATAGAAATAACTAGCTATAACCATTTACAACTGGTGAAGGACCAGAACTGCAAGGCATGTTGGGCAACTTACTTGGGACTCCGGGACCTAAGTCCCAAAAGCATATGGATATTTCACGACTAAAGATATGGCTATCAAACATCCCAGTGCCACAAATTATAAAGACAAAAGGTATGACTATCATACATTAATATCTTACTGTACCTTAAAGCCTTAGTTCTTCTTATTGTTGATGTGGTAAAGCCTATTATTTCCGGTATTTCCCAATCATTAGCTAACCTGAATGATTCCCCATTCAACCGTACCATCACAGTCGGTGGTGCCCCCGTTATGGCACTGCTGGTTTAGAAAACCCCCAGTCGGACTGTTCAACGTGGTTAAAACAATGCCATGTGAACACCATCCCACAGTCATCACTAATTGTTGGTATAAACCATTCCCAGGAAAATGGCTGGTAAACATGGCCTTGTTTCCACCACATGATCATGAAATAGTGAAATATCTTCCGGCAATAACCAACTCAACTATTCGGAATGGGCCCTTTGTAATCTTCCCACTTTGCAGTCACTGGCAACGAAGGATACTATAACGACCTAATAGATCATTCATAAAGAACTAGTCTTCCCACTTCGCAAATACCCACTTCTATTATCTAATCGTCCATCAATATTCCAGATAGAGCTAATGTTAAAGCCTCAGCGCTGATAGAATTCTAATGATTGGGCGGATAAAAAATGTGGGTGAAATATTCATTTTTCAAGTAATATATAAAAGCTCCTGGTACTTTGACTAATGAAAACTACCCTCTAATAAATTAACATAGACCCTGGCAGATAGGGGTTGGAAGATTCGTTTCCACTAAAAATGGGTTACTTTCAGGCATTATGTGAATCTACCAAACGGTAAGGAATATTCAAACAATGGGAACGATTGGGGGAATGAACATTAACTATTTACCAATATTAGTCATCCAATATAACATTGTCAATCTCAAATATCTGGCCAAAAAAACAATTTTAAGCTGGTTAGTAGAGTTTACCCTTGGAAAAAAAACACCCAAGTACTAAAGTATCTAACCAGTCGGTTGACCAGTGCTGATAGAAATACCTGATCATAATATTGAAGAATGATAACTATCCATTTTGTATAGAACTAATTATCACCTATACTAACTATATAACTGTTCAATTACCGGAGGGTAGTTCATAAATAATTACATATATCAATCAATCTATCTATCTATTTATCAATCTATCCATACTATATACCTATACTATATATCTATACGATATACCTATACTATATATCTATAGTAGATATCCTATACCCAGATCTGATAGAGATGAAATCTCCCACTCCGAGCGAAACTTGGCGCCTCCTCATCTCCCAAGGGCGCCGCCCCAAGGATTTCCACCGCCACGTCCAAGGCGTCGTCTACGAGACATGGAGAGAGCGGTGGTGGGACGTCAACGGAATGGAAAAACCTTCGGTTATGAGTTGAAGATCTGGATTTCTATAGGTAATTACTAGATATATACTATTTATATGAACTAACCTCCGGTAATTCAACAGTTTGCTATTGAAATTTGTCATTTGGTTCGTTGATTATGTTGAATTACCAATTAACACTGTTGATTTTCCAGTTCGCTATGTGAAATTACCAGAAAGTATATAGTTAAAAGCTAAAACTGGAAAAATCCTGGGTACTCCGATGTTTTTTCTGGTTGAGCTCCGGATGTTCAACCAATCTCATGATTAAGTTATCAAAATTGAATGATTAATCTTTGGAACACAATCTTCAACATCTGAAGGTACAGTATCAAAGCAAAAATTTTGATTGATGCGTGAGAGAGATTAAGTAGGTCTGATAACCTGTCAACATATATCAACACGGTTATAATTTGAATTGTTAGAAGGATGAGTGGCTTGCAGGCATCAAAACCAATTCATCACCAAAAACGATATGAAGTTTTATATACCCTCTGGCCTCTGGTTATTTAACATAGCCATGGAAAATGGCCCATTTATAGATGGTTTACCTATTAGAAATGGTGATTTTCCATGGCCATGTTAAATAACCAGATGGTAAACCATGAAAATTAAATCCCACAGTGGCAACGTGAGGGGCCCAAATATCCACTATATTCTCTTCATCAGGCCTTGTTGGGCCTAGTTCCTTTCCAGGGGCGGCCGATCTTATAAATGTGGCAGCCAAAAAAAAACTATTGTGTGGTTGAAAAACTCTCAACTTAACTACGACACATGGGAGAAGGGGTTGCCGCGACTGTGTTAAAAATGCGGGGTTTCCTGGTTCCCCTTTGTGGGGCAAAATGGTGGTAAAAAAACAACTTAACAAGCTGGTTGGTGGTTTCAACCCCTCTGAAAAATATTAGTCAAATGGGAGTATTATTCCCAATATATATATATATATGCTACCCCCCCCAAAGACCTACATTTTTTGTATTAGGTATGTCCTTGGCTGCCTTGTCTTTCTTCTCATCTTCTCACCTATTGCAACACTGCATCAGGAAAGTAGCTTGTGCGCATGCACCTGGACACATCTCGCCCACATATGTAGCTGTAGCATAGCACATGTGAAGAAACTGACCACGTAGGTGCATGAACACTGAGAGCACCTGGGTGGGTGGGAAAGGACAAGCAATACACTAGACATTTTGTGTACCAGATATGTCCTTGTCTGCCTTGTCTTTCTTCTCATCTTCTCACCTATCGCAACACTGCATCAGGAAAGTAGCTTATGCGCATGCACCTGGACACATCTCGCCCACATATGTAGCTGTAGCATAGCACATGTGAAGAAACTGACCACGTAGGTGCATGAACACTGAGAGCACCTGGGTGGGTGGAAAGGACAAACAAGACACGAGACATTTTGTGTACCAGATATGTCCTTGACTGCCTTGTCTTTCTCCTTATCTTCTCACCTATTGTAACACTGCATCAGGAAAGTAGCTTGTACGCATGCACCTGGACACATCTTGCCCACATATGTAGCTGTAGCATAGCACATGTGAAGAAACTGACCACGTAGGTGCATGAACACTGAGAGCACCTGGGTGGGTGGGAAAGGACAGAGAATGTATTGCTTTGGATGCATGAGCCCATGTGTAGCATTATCATAGCGCATAACTCAATTGGACCGAGGAACAACGAGACACCAATCGAGACATATTCCATGAAGAAGACCTGGCAGAAATTGGATCAAAAAGAAGCTTTCGGCACGATTGTGAACACGGAAGACCCGAAGCAATATATTGCAATGCATTTTTCCCCAAAGCTCTACGGCTCACTTCTTGCCCATAAGGCGCTTTGCGGCCCATTGGCACAGAGATCCGGTCGCCACCCACATGTCTGCATTTTTGTACCAATACTGATACTGAGCAGATCGGAGTTTGGATCTCAGCAGGCTCGACCCGGCTTTTGTATTTTGATTAAGGCTGAGACGCTCCTTTAAGAAACGCCAGCAGCGGTCAATCACTTGGGTGCCAGCTTTCACACGGATCTTTTTATTTGTGCCTGGAAGCTTGTGTTCCACTACTTTGACATATCGTGGCGCCTGCCATTTCCATTTGCCGCGTACTTTCACGCGTTTTTTGCAATGGACTACTCGATCGTGCAACACCCCTGCAACACGGACCCTATAACTCTTGGCAGAATCCGTGTGCAACACAACCTTTCTGTTCTTCAGCCAATGGTCAGCAAGGGGACGCCACTCGACTTTGCGTACTGCACCGGGTCCCGGTGCACGTGCATCTGTACGAACAGGCTTCAGACGATGCAAGACCAACGACTCCGGCTTCCCTCGCTGAACAATACCACACCATTGTTCCCACTCAATTGGCTTCTTGGTGTTGCCCAGCTCTGACACATCAGTGATAGTCTTCTTGTCGAATGTAGTTTCGTCTGCCTCGACATCCTGCCACGCTGCTCCGTTGCCGAAGACAATCTCTTTCTCCTTCTCCTCCACATACTCCTTGCGTAGTAAAGCCAATCGCTTGTCCAAGTCCTCGATGGCCTTGTGATTCACATGCATGAGCCTGTGGATGGTGGAGTTTGGAATGTTGTTGATTTTGAGAAGTAATAGGGCAGCCTGAGTCTGCAAGGGGCTACCTGCCACACCATAACCTTCTGTAAACAGAGGGTGCAAGTGATGCGGATTGAAGTAGACCTGGCACCCCCTGGAATTGCAGCGAAGCTTAGGGGATGAGTCACCAGGCTTCTGCACCCAACCGCGTAGCTTCCCCTTCTCACACCGAGGACAAGTTTTGCCACGCCAATCAGGCAACAAGCCATCCTGCATCAACATCTGCACGATCCCCTTGTCGGTCGCATGGAGGATGTCTGGCAAGGACCTCTTCCACTTTGTCTGGTCCATGCGAAGACCCCGCGGACCAACATCCGCAGCACCCCTTGTATACGGTACATTCTGCCAAGACTTTGCCTTCGTCTTCTGAGAAGCTGGGCGTTTCAAGACCATACGAGATTTGCCCTTCTTTGGTGCCGGGAATGGATTGAATTTGGAACGCATAGCGCAATGGCCTTGAGTGATGGCTATATGGAACACAAGAGTTGAGCTGTATGCTGCAGTGCAATATGCATGAATGGATGCTCGCTTCGCTTGCAATTACTTGTGCTTCGATGGAGACAGCGGACCTTGATTGCACAACACCGACAACATAACCTTTTCGTGCGATGGCTATGTTCCTTTTTTTTCTTCTCCCCTCGGACACGACTTCGCAAGTCTATCTTGCTATTGTACGAATCTACTGCATTCGAATTATAGGCTACTTGTCTACATGCCATTCAGTCCCATGTAGTGGGCTGCCTCTTCATCAGCCTCTAAATCCATACTCTTCGGTTCCTCAGGCTCCGCTTCCATGGGATCTTGGTATGCAGCTTCTGCATCCTCAGCCAACTCCTCAATGTGCTGCGATGGTGGTGGAGAAGTCTTGGCCCGTAGTCGACGATCGGGATAGACGAAATTGCCACGGCGACGCCCCGAGGGTTGAGTGCCAATGGGAGGCACAGGGCAGACCACATCCATATTGGCTTCTGGAGTAGAAGGGCAGGATGATGGTGGCACAACATGGGCACTGCGGAAAAGAAGTTTGTCCTGAAGCTTGTGGTTCACATAAGCAACATAATCCTGCAGGTTTTCATATCCTGCAATCTTCTGAAATCCTTCCTCCAAGACTTCCTGTTCCTGGAGAATCTCTGCATCAAAGTTTGATCCAGTCTCCATCGTACCTCCCTTGTACTTTCCATACAAAGGTTTGTCCCGCTCACCTAGCAAGTCAAGATGCACGTCCTCCAGGCAAATCCGATGCACAATGGCATCTCTATGTGCACTTGGCAAACGAAGGTAGAGAGCGTGGTTGCCGAACATGAAGACAATGGAGCGTTTCAGTACTGCCAAGACATCTTTCTCTCTGTCACCGCGGAAGAATTCATCAAGCAAGCTAAAGAAGTTGGCTTCAGAAATCACTGTGTCACCTGCATTGCAATCAAATCTTTCTTCTGCCAAGTCATTGGACGCATAGGCCCTCATTTGATTCCGTAACATCTTGGTATCGTTGTACCTGGACTCAACCGTTCCATCCTCATCACATGTAAGGAAACTCTTCAGGTCGGCTATGCACACCTTGCTTCGATCGGGGTCGTCTAGAAAGAGAGCCTCTTGAACCTGAGGGGCTTTGTGCCTGAAGTTGTCCAGGGATTTGGCTCGGCGCCAACCAGCCTTCAGGCCTTCACATCCAGATCGACGAACGTGGTAACGACCAAGCGCCATTGCCAGAGTGATCACAAAGGGCGTTTTCCCCACACCAGGACAACCCAGCAGCAAGAGGCCAAAGTTGATGAGCAGTGGATACAAGTATGGTAGCAAGATAGTGTGCAAGAATGGCTTCAGGCTATAGGTTGTGAGGGGAAACTCGGTCATACTCACAGCACCTCCAAGCCCCTTGCTTTTGTTTTGGCACATTTGCCGTACCTTCGCCTCCGGCCATCCTGCAATAGGTGTGCTTGAGTCAGGCTTGATGTTGAGCAGGATCCACAGTGTTTGCTCGTTGAGAGCGTCACATTCTGGGGCAAATGCATTGATATGGTAGATGCCTTCTTCCAGCTCAGACCTTGATGGTGACCAGGTAGGTTTTGAGGAATGCTCCGCCTGGGTCTTCTCTTCAAGGGCAAACCATCTAAGTTGATACCCTCCCAAATGATTGAGAAGCCACTGCACTCCCTTTTTGATGTTCCAGGGCCCCGATCTAAAGACTGGAATATAAGCTTTCTCACTGCACAAAGCTTCGGCAGCTTGAAAGGACATCGGACGTGGCAGATAGAGCACTTTGAGAACATCTACGTTTCCAATCGCCATGGTCACATGCACGAAGTCCATTTTGGTTGTACTCGGAGGAGTGCCTTTGAAACGGATGGGTTCAGGTAAATCATCCCATCGATATTGCATAGCGATCTGGCCAATGTCGACTGGTTCGCCACATGAGGGTATGTCATTGTGGAAATCAAAGAGAACTGTAATGGATTTCACACCCTTTTGCAAAGGTCTGCACGCATCAGTGGTGAATCCAATGCATGTGATGGGCTCTTCCACTTCGACAATCCCACATTTGGCTTCTTCCAAGGGTCGTAGATATAACGGTTTCTTTCCCAATGCTTGGATTGCCTTATCCATCAATGTTCCAGCCATTGCAATCAAAGGGGAGCACGGCGCGGTGCACAAGACAAGACTGGGGCGGACAGGTTTGGGCTCATGTGACACAGCAGAGAAGAAATACGAGAGTGACAAGAATCCACACATGAATTGAATGTTGAATGTCAACTGCCAGCATGTTCAAAACAATCAGACCTTCCCAAGTACTTTCGCTGCCACACGTGCATGCCAAGGACATATCTCTAAGTATGTATACATATAATGCTAAGGCTCAAGGCTCTAGTGCCAGACTGCTTTTCTTTTCAATGTGCATCAAGCGGACACAATGAGAGATACATCTTTTTCAACCCGCATGCCCTTGTCTCAGCGACATCAATCGGATGCCATTTCATGATCAGAAGAGTCAGGAGACGAAGCTTCAGCAGCCAAAGATTCATCCATATCCATAGGGATATCCGCGGCGTTTTCCGGCTGTAGCCGGCGCCGCAAAGCGGCATTTTCCTGAGACAGCCCTGCGATGATCTCATTCTGCTCCTCAATCTGAGCGGTTGCCTTCGCAAGCTCGCAAGAGGTGTGATGCAATGCCGAGAAAATCCCCTCAAACTCCTCTTTCCATTTGATCACTTCCTTGCTTTTCTTCTCGAGTTCAGCATCTGCCTGATGTTGTGGACCTTCGGAAGATGATGAATCCGAATCGGAATCGGGTGTGGAAGACGAGGATGCTGGCTTCTTCTCTTCCAAAGTGGAACTGGAGGATGATGGCTTCACATCTTCCAAGGCCAATTGCGCAGTTGCAGTGCTCCTTTTCGGATTGGCCAGTAAGTTTTCTAAGCGCTGCTGGGCATCTGCACTCCATTCACCATCACCTCCCGGACGCAGGCGCAGTTGCCTTTGAATCGTGCCCATCATAGTCATCAGGTCTCTCTTTGCAACTGGATGGCGGCTGTCATGAACCTTGACTGTTCCTGCTCCGATTTTTTCCAGGAGCTGAGATGTTGACGGTCGAGTCATGGTCACTTTGATGTCAGGCTCTGGTGTCAATGTCATGATGGCCTTGCCTTGCGACATATTCACCGTGCCGGTCACGTTGAAGAACGCCATGGCAAATAAGAGGGGAAGCGATGAAAGCTGAGAACAAGAATGGCACTGGGGCAGTGACAATGGATTGCAAGAATGGAGCAGTGACAATGGATGGCAGGAATTGTATTTATGTCTTTTCCAGCCTAAAGGAATGCATCCAGAATGCATTCTTCCCAATATCTAAGATCCAAGATCTAAGAATTGCGGAGAAGTCTTGTGCAAATCTTGGGTTTGGAATTTGCCAGAATACTCTTACCAATCCCTATGAAAATTCTTTAGGAATCCAAGATTTTGATCATGCATTCTTCCCAAGATCTAAGATCCAAGATCTAAGAATTGCGGAGAAGTCTTGTGCAAATCTTGGGTTTGGAATTTGCCAGAATACTCTTACTAGTCCCTATGAAACTTCTTTAGAAATCCAAGATCTTGATCAAAAGTCTTGTGGGAAACTTGGATCTTGGATTTTGAATCTTGCAAAGAATGCATTCAGAATGCATTCTTTCGGCAGGATTCAAGATTCAAGATTTCTAGGGACTCTTTGGAGCAAATCTTGAATCCACCCCCTGGATTCAAGATTCAAGATTCCTGAGGACTCTTTCCAGCAAATCTTGAATCCAGGATTCAAGATTCAAGATTTCTGGGGACTCTTTGGGGCAAATCTTGAATCCAGGATTCAAGATTCAAGATTCAAGATTCCTGAGGACTCTTTCCAGCAAATCTTGAATCCAGGATTCAAGATTCAAGATTTGCCCCAAAGAGTCCCCAGAAAATCTTGAATCTTGAATCTTGAATCCGGATTCAAGATTTGCCCCAAAGAGTCCCCAGAAATCTTGAATCTTGAATCCCTGGATTCAAGATTTGCTGGAAAGAGTCCTCAGGAATCTTGAATCTTGAATCTTGAATCCGGATTCAAGATTTGCTGGAAAGAGTCCCCAGAAATCTTGAATCTTGAAATTCTAGATTTGCCCCAAAGAGTCCCCAGAAATCTTGAATCTTGAATCCGGATTCAAGATTTGCCCCAAAGAGTCCCCAGAAATCTTGAATCTTGAATCTTGAATCCGGATTCAAGATTTGCCCCAAAGAGTCCCCAGAAATCTTGAATCTTGAATCTTGAATCCAGGGGGTGGATTCAAGATTTGCTCCAAAGAGTCCTCAGAAATCTTGAATCTTGAATCTTGAATCCTGCCGAAAGAATGCATTCTGAATGCATTCTTTGCAAGATTCAAGATCCAAGATTCCCACAAGGGTTGGATTCAAGGCTTGAATCCTCTATGTATATATATATATATGTATATATACACTATATAACATCCCCCAAATCCCGGAATCCAAAATTACATACCAAAAATAGCAAATTTTACTGTAAATACCAGTACTTTTGTGAAATTGGTAGGTCTGGGGGGGGGTGCCATATATATATATATATATATATATATATATATATATATGGAACCAAAAAAAATGTTCCAAACCACCAACCAGGCCATAGGCCTCGAACAGCATCTCCGGCGCTGGGCAGGAAACAACGACTTCCAGCAAAAGCGGCCTGAGGGATGTTGGACTTGTAACTTATTTTTGGGATGTACCTCCAAAAAAGTTGGTTGAAAAGTAGTTGGGCTGAAAACTGTTATTATTTAAATATATATATATATCTGTTGTGTAGTTGGGGGCAAAAAAACAACTTGTAATTCGGGCCACCACGTGGCATACATGTGTCTGTGTTTATGATTTTATGATATTTTATGTGTGTTTGAAAATGTGAAATCGGATGATACACATAAAATGAGAATTGCCATTGATGGAAATTCTGGTTGAGATCAGAAGTTTGATGACGGCAATCCAACCCATCCATCCCCGAAAAGCCAATTAAAGATAAAGACTTTGCAATTTATCCATGTAAGCATGGCTTTCAAGACTTGCAAGGCTTCTGATCAGGACAACAACCAATCGTGGCTATGACTCTCAAGTAATGAACCCCGTTTTTTTTTGAACATTCCCCATTGATAGATGATACTTCCGTTGACATGCCCATTGATGTAGTTCGGGGATTTCCCAGCCAGCTATGTTCAAGTGGATGGTGATCCTAAGATCTTCAGGGTTGTCGAGACATTCTGTCATGTTCTCCCCATGTTTTTTTTCTGTGGCCAAAAAATGCATGATTCTGTCGCAAATCTTCCCATGGCACACATTTGGTGATGCCTCACACCCTCTGGCGCTGTTTTATGATGCGCAAACGAGCCCCATCAGCGAAGTGTTTCTTTGTCATAAACACAATTATAAGAACTGATATCTAATTATAACTGAATATAACTGATATATATATATATAAATATATATATATTACGGATATTTAAATATCTATTAAGTAGATATTGTTAAACCATGAATAATACCCTATACGTGGATCTCACCTGTCGATCTTTGCTTTGGTTATCCTTCCTGGCCAAGGCACGGGGATTCCACCGTGCCATGACCCATGCTGGATAATCACAGCAATTTGATGTGGGTCCCCTATATATTTGATATATCTAATTGTAACTGATATATCTTATAGATACGGATATAATATCAAGTGAGGAGTAAGAAACCCCTCCCGATTAATCAACCACCATTGCCCCCAAAAAAATGTAATTTAAAAACAGGTGGTCCCCCCAGATTAATAAACCGGTGGGCCTACCCCCGATTAATCAACCACCAGTGCTGAAATCATTTTTTATCCAACATTTTTTATTTCCAAATCTATTGATTTCCAATTGTTGTTTTTACCTTTTTTTTAATCATCATTGTTATACTTCAGGTTTAAGTTGATCATTGAAAATTTCAAAAAACAACTATTCCCCAAATGATCGATTTCTAATTAAAACTTTATAAAAATCATCAGTTTGGATAGCTCCCAAAGGGTACCCCACATGAGCCCATGTCCCTCATTAATAATAACCAGGGTTTGCCCCTGATTAATCAACCACCTTTCTGATCCATGAAATTTCAACAAATCCATTGGAAATCTATTAAGATCTAATTCACGTAAGCCATATCCAAAGTTTTATGGTTCAGAGTTGCTTACTATTAAGGAGTGGTCAAGAAAACCAGTCAGAAGGTACCCCCCCTACCTTCTGGGGGGGGGGGTTATTAATCCGGTGTTGGCATTATTTATATAATTGTATATAGATATTGATAAACCATGAATAATACCCTATATATTTTAACCTGTTTTGTGATACGTAGAGTGAAGCATGGTAAATCAATAGCTCCGCCAGTTTCGGTCGTCACCGAGGAACTGTGAGCGTAAAGTGCTGGAAATAGATGCGGCGAAGCCCTCCGACCTGGCTGAAAGCCTAGCTGAGCCATTTGTTGCCCTTCCAGTTATTGTTGGTTTATAAAGCCATTAATTATATATATAAGGGTTTCCAAAAATGGTACCCCAATAGCTGGATGGTTTATAGTGGAAAATTTTATTAAAATGTATGATTCAGTGGTACCCCCGTTTCAGGAAACCTCCACATATAAGTCATAAGTCCCGTTTTTTTTTGACGTATAAAGCAACCTAGCAAACTAGGGGTCACAACATTGTACCTTGTATATAGAAGGGGTCTCTAGCAAATTCACCATGGAGGAGGGAAAAAAATCTAAAGGTTTCAAGAGAAAAATCAAACTCATCTTCCCTCTGGGTTCTCTCATTGCTCACTGAGAAACATATGTATTTTCATCAAGCAAATGGCATCAAACAAATCACATGTCCCTACTACATGTTCAATTTCTCCAAAAAAATGATGGAAAAAGTCAATCGTGTGCATCAATTTCTCCTAAATCGTTGCATGTATCACTTTTTCCTATGATGATACCAGTTACGCTATAACTTGGTAAACTAGGGTTTGGGGTAGTTGTAACTACAGCTGATGCGGTTTATAGACCAATTTAAAACTATTTCACGTATTTTCCTATCATTTTGTGAAATAATCCATAGTTTTCGATCATTTTCTTGTATTTCATCCCAACTTTCTTGGATCTCTTTCTTCTGTCTTCCTATACTTGGGATCATTTAATCATGGTCCTAATCTTCCCATATGTTCCCACCATTTTCCCAATTCAACCACCCAAACTCAGGGTTCCCCCACCTCCAGCGCAAAGCGCAACGAAGCCCCCGGCACCGCCGTAGCAAAGAGCGCCAAGGGTTGCAGGGCTAAGGGCCTGGTGGTGCTGTCCCGCATCGACCAGCGAAAATGTTGATTTCACATGCCAAAACTGAGGTAATGGTAATTTTTCAACGAAAACAACAAATGTGGGTTTTGCTTGAAACTGACTATATCTAGTTGATTGATAGCTAAGTTGGCAAACATGGCTCAAATGACGGTCATATGATAGATTGATAGATTGATAGATTGATTGATAGATAGATAGACAGAAAGATAGATAGATCGATCGATCGATAGATAGGATAAGATAAGATAGATAGGACAAGATAGATAGATAGGATCGATAGGATAAGATAGGATAAGATAAGATAGACAGGAAAAGACAGACAGACAGACAGACAGACAGAAAGACAGACAAACAAACAGACAGACAGATAGATAGATAGATCAGATAGATCAGATAGATCAAATAGATCAGATAGATCAGATAGATCGATCAGATAGATCAGATAGATCAGATAGATCAGATAGATCAGATAGATCAGATAGATCAGATAGATCAGATAGATCAGATAGATCAGATAGATCAGATAGATCAGATAGATCAGATAGATCAGATAGATCAGATAGATCAGATAGATCAGGTAGATCAGATAGATCAGATAGATCAGATAGATCAGATAGATCAGATAGATCAGATAGATCAGATAGATCAAATAGATCAGATAGATCAGATAGATCGATCAGATAGATCAGATAGATCAGATAGATCAGATAGATCAGATAGATCAGATAGATCAGATAGATCACATAGATCACATAGATCAGATAGATCAGATAGATCAGATAGATCAGATAGACCAGATAGATCAGATAGATCAGAAAGATCAAATAGATCAGATAGATCAGATAGATCAGATAAATCAGATAGATCAGATAGATCAGATAGATCAGATAGATCAGATAGATCAGATAGATCAGATAGATCAGATAGATCAGATAGATCAGATAGATCAGATAGATCAAATAGATCAGATAGATCAGATAGATCAGATAGATCAGATAGATCAGATAGATCAGATAGATCAGATAGATCAGATAGAGCAGATAGATCAGATAGATCAGATAGATCAGATAGATCAGATAGATCAGATAGATCAGATAGATCAGATAGATCAGATAGATCAGATAGATCAGATAGATCAGGTAGATCAGATAGATCAGATAGATCAGATAGATCAGATAGATCAGATAGATCAGATAGATCAGATAGATCAAATAGATCAGATAGATCAGATAGATCGATCAGATAGATCAGATAGATCAGATAGATCAGATAGATCAGATAGATCAGATAGATCAGATAGATCACATAGATCACATAGATCAGATAGATCAGATAGATCAGATAGATCAGATAGACCAGATAGATCAGATAGATCAGAAAGATCAAATAGATCAGATAGATCAGATAGATCAGATAAATCAGATAGATCAGATAGATCAGATAGATCAGATAGATCAGATAGATCAGATAGATCAGATAGATCAGGTAGATCAGATAGATCAGATAGATCAGATAGATCAGATAGATCAGATAGATCAGATAGATCAGATAGATCAGATAGATCAGATAGATCAGATAGATCAGATAGATCAGATAGATCAGATAGATCAGATAGATCAGATAGATCAGATAGATCAAATAGATCAGATAGATCAGATAGATCAGATAGATCAGATAGATCAGATAGATCAGATAGATCAGATAGATCAGATAGATCAGATAGATCAGATAGATCAGATAGATCAGATAGATCAGATAGATCAGATAGATCAGATAGAACAGATAGATCAGATAGATCAGATAGATCAGATAGATCAGATAGATCAGATAGATCAGATAGATCAGATAGATCAGATAGACAGCTGACTGATGTGAACGGACCCTGTCTTCGGCAGCTTCGTCCAAGAAATGTTCAAAATACCACACTGACTGCACTACCCCTCTGAAGACAAGAGACACTTCGAATCATTTTCAATCTCTGCTACAGAGAACCTACAACTTTTTTCTAAAGCAAGTCAACAGAGAGAAGACGTTCTTATCATTGCCACGACACCAAAGATGGACGTTGGATGACATTGGCATGTTGGAAACTGAAGCTACGAGCCACGGTTAACCTGAGAATCTGAACATCGTTTTGACGTCACCCCTTGGTCTCCCAAGGCTTACATGCCTTGCATACCCATTCATGGACACAGGTACTGCCGCTGCGAAGAAGCAGCTGAATGTGCAAATGGTAAAGGTGATGATGGCCGATTTTTTGCGCCACCAAAGCCAGAATCTCACCCTGGCAGAAATGATTGGCCCATGAAACTCGAACATATGTTGTCTGGTGGTACGGCACCAGCTGCTTGAGTTTCTCCAAGTCCGCTTTCCAGCCCGCGAACTCGTCCCATCGCCCGTTTGAGTCCATCATGTCCTGGATCGTGTCAAACAAATCCATGGCTGCCACCCCAGATGTCTCCGCCATTTTGAAATGAGTCTTGATCCATGAATGAGACGAAGGAATCAACTATACCTGGAACTTGCATGCATTTCAGCATTTCTGCTTCTGGAAGAAACAAGAGAAAATTTGTCGTTTCCGTCCAAAAAGTTTTGGCCAGACAGATTGAAACACAGGCAGGCAGATAGATAGACAGATAGATAGATAGACAGATAGACGGAGCAATAGATACGAGTAGATAGATGAATAGAAAGAAGGGAAGAGAGATAAGTAAATGGGCAGATAGACAGACAGCTTGAAAGAAAGGTAGATAGACAGAAAGATAGACAACAAGACAGACAGATAGACAGATAGACAGACAGATGGATAGATAGATAGATAGATAGATAGACAGACAGACAGACAAATAGATAAATATCAATCTGGTTGCAAGTCACAGTACTTATTGATAGCCAAAAGTTGGCTTTATTGATCGCCAACTTGGTCTGGTTTCGCCATTTTTTAAAACCTGGTCTCAAATCACAGTACTCCATTCATACAAGAACACATTTCAGAAACACTTTGTTTACCCAATTGTGTCCTGCTCTATCCCCATTCCGAATGGTCAACGAATTGCCCACTCACTCGCCATTCACTCGCCAGCCGCCCCCGATTTATATCATGTTCTGTCCAAGTTTCATGGAAGTTCAACAGTTTTCTCGTGTTTTCTCAACGTGGTGAAAGAAAGACCCGCATTCACAAAACATAAAAACCAAGAATTGCTCATGTTGCCTGGCTGCGAGTCATATGTTTTTTTCCTTCCGTTTTTTTGGGGGGGAAGCACCAAAAAGCAACACACAATGAGGAAGAAGCAACACACAATGAGGTGAAGCCAGTAAGACGATACCGATATAACGATGCAACTTATGAGCCCAAATCCTTGGTTTCTGGGATGGTTTCTGGTTGAACAAATACGCACCAAGTTATACCATACGTCTGGCACACCAAGCATTAAATAGTACGCATTTTGACCACAAGGTACTGCCGAGTTCGTTTTCTAAGTTAGTAAAGTTAGGTTGAACTTATAGTGGGTATAAAATATCCTATGATAGCCTATGACTAGATAAAGTTAAGAAGAAACTTGTACCACTTAGTATCAAACCACAAGTTCTTTGATGGTGTTTGTGTGGGTTCACCCCAACTTATGTATATATACAATTTAACAGACCTTAAAAGCAATCTCCAATGGGTTCACATTTTATTTGCTGCCTGCCGGGGCCCCACTGCAACCAGTAACCATGAAACAAAACCCGGTTGATAGGTTTCCCTACTATGGGTCGTAAAGAAATCACTGAAATCACCAACAAATTTGATATCAGAACTCCCGAGAAATTACCCTCTGGTAATTTAACGTAGCTATTGAAAATGGCAAATTTATAGTGGATTTACCCATTGAAAATTGTGGATTTTCCAGTTCGTTATCAAAACGTTTCCCAGAGGGTAATCACCATAAATAGCTGGTATAAACTACCATTCAGTCACCATTCCCAGTCATGGGTTGTTTATGGCATTGTTTTACCCACATAAAAATCGTTCACCCATCCAGCAGGGCGAAGGAACGATCGTTTTACCAGGGCCGGCCTGCAATCTCTGGCAGGGCTCGGCCCCACCAAGTCAACACTGTCTTCAGGGCCTACACCGACCAACCTCCAGGTGCCACCAAGAAGTGGAGATAGCAGTGCGCGCCACTTTAATGGTGGAAATGTGGGACTAGGAAAATCCAACAACAGGTTTACTAAGTTTACTATGGTTTACTATGGTTTACTATGGTTTACTATGCTTTACTATCCACAATCCACAGTTGGACTATTGTCCACACATATCCACACCAATACTTATGGGTATATTCTCCAAAATTCCACCATGGTGGATACCCCAAGAGTGGCAAGGTTGTTGGAGAAAATGATGATAATCCATTGGTGGTGCGTAATTCCAATGGATCCATGTAGAACACCAAAACAAAGAAACAACGTCATTAATGGACGAAAAGCTTCGAAGGAACGTAAAACACATTATTATGCTAACTTTTCTACAGAGCGAGGGTTCACAGGTTCAACTTTATTGCAGGGTGCTGTTCAATAGTAAAGGGCATACCGGCATACCTGTTTACCGGAGGTATTGGGCCAAGGACCAACTATTCAGCCTTGATAAGTGGAGGACGACGCAACGTAGAGCTTTCCAGTGTACCAACAAGTGAGCAAGTGCCAAGGCCCACGGATTTGAGGGTCACCCAAAATTGGAGCCATGCCCCAGATGATCTAAACTAGCAATTTTCAGCTTGGGTCTGTCCAGTAGCGTGGCATGCCCCCAAATATCAATTCAACTGGGAAAAATCTGGTTTTTGGACTAATCCACATGCGTATAGGGCACTTTCTAAGACCTATAATTATAAAGGAACACATATTTGTTTGTTGGGTTAGAAATCAACCATTCCCAATTTGGGGCACACAATTTTGTTCCATACCGCACATATTACAAGGTGGTTCCGCCCATTCATGTGTGTTTGTCTACCAACCCCATCAACCATAGAGAGCATAGAGAGAGAGATATATATATATATATACCATAAGTCCTGGTTACGTTGGACATTAACCACGTAACTAACTATAGCCTACCACCTTGCATAAGAAGTGGGGTTATACTATATGTGCGACGGTCAAAACTCAATTCATGTGGTGAGGTCATGGCATCGCTTCATAAGGCCCCCTATCGCTACACACAGTCCCAGCACCCTTTTCACCAACTAGGCAGAATTGCTGCTAGAAGAGGAGGATCCAGATGAGGAATTGGATTCTTATTCCCCTTGCGATGGTATCTCCAGGGAAATTCAAACTTTTACGTGATCACCAAGGCTGACGTCGACAGCTTCAGCTAGACACCAGCCGGACTCACTGCAGGTCACCTGACCTCGGAGGCTGCCCTTGGCTTGTGTTGGCTTGTCTTGGCTTGTCTTGCCTGTGCTGCCTTGTTTCCGGCGCCTTTTTTCTTCACCCCGCCTCCTTTGCAACCTAATACCACGCCAAAATGAATCGGCAAAACCCTGACCAAATGAACCCTTTAAGAACTAACCCAGTAAGAACTTGAGGGTACCCTTGTTCATACTTCCCATATTTTTCCACCTATAGCACAAGTTGTATAGTTTCAAGTGACCATGTGGGGTACTCCCTAATTTCATGGATTTCAGGTATCGCTCTGGGTATCGAGGGGTATCGCTTCGGGCATCGCTACGGGGACCAGAAAATGTGTGATCTCAGGTGTATGTTTCAAGTGACACGAAATTCTGACAAGCTCCATGTTGCAATTCTACTCCTGGACAGTGGCTTTGGAGAAGCGTCCGTGACCGCACAAGGATGCTTTTTCAACATATCTCAGCACGGTCACTATCTGAATCAACATCATCACCATCACCATCATCATCAGCATCATCACCATCATCAAGCTCATGATGCGTTATGAATTAGTTTCTTGCATACCTTATAGATCAACATACCCCAATATATCAATATTGTTTAATGTAACTATCTCATATATACTTGACGACAGGCCATCTTGCAACTACCCAGGAAGACCAGCCCACTGCGACTGCTCCAGTGTCGCACTCTGACATCAAAAGATTGGAAAGTCATGCGCCCAACAGGAAGCTTCAATCATAAACAAAGTCTAAAAAGAGGTATCGCTACATAAGGCCCCCTATCGCTACACACAGTAAATCACATATTTTGAGTAGTGATGGCAGATCGTAATTGAAGCCTTTCATAGCGTCTTTTGACCCTTGCTCATATGACTATAGCCCACTTACAAATGGGGTAACCCAATCAGAAAACTCGAATGATGGCCCTCTCTGAGTGTCCCGACAGCTTCAGTGAAGTTTCACTGGGCAAATTGCAAGCTTCGCTCACCTGAGGGGGTCAATGAAGGTGTGCTATGTGTGAAGGCCAAAGCTTAGGTACAAGGTGGTGCGCCCAGTGTCTTAGCTAAGTTGGTTTTTCAAATATCATCAACTGCACATGACATCAAATGCATCCAGTTTGTGGGTCAAACGGAAAACAACCCGTTTTGTGTTTTTTTTTGTCTGGTCAAAGGTAAAAATTAATGAGCACGTTGACGCTCTTGGGACTTCAACTGCGCAACATCAGGCAATGGCTTCTCATTCTCCTACACATCCGCGCTTTGCCAAAGCTCGGGCTCCGAAAAAAATCTTCCACATCAAAAAGAAGTTCCAGCTGCATGTGGCTGCGCCGCGCTGCGCCCTTTCCAAAAGGAGGCAGGTGATCGGCCGGACAGTCCAATCAACGCAGCCGGGGAGCACAAGAACAAGGTCATCTACATCCATGGCCAATCGCGTGAAGACGACCAAAAGAATCCGGGATGGAATTTCGGGACGGTTTTTTTTAAAATAAAACATATTGTTTTTAGGTTTTATAGGGGACCCAAGCTCTTTCATTTTATAAGGGAAATTCCAACGGGATCCACAAAATATCTCCAAGATCATGAGGTCTCAGCCATCAGAAAGTGTTCATCTGACGCGCTTCTCCGCTTCGTCGACGTCCTCCAAGAAAAGGCCCAGTTTAAGAGCCTTCTTGTAGGTTTTCGGACAACTTCAACCCACAAAAAAATAGGTTATGTGGTTCCTTTGGTAAGTAAGTAGTTAACGGAAATTAGTATATCTACATGGCATGGTTGATTGGGCTTAAAAAGAACTTGCCACTGCGGGCGGACACCACTTTGCATCTATCTGGGTAAATTATGATAATTCACTAACCTGAATTAAGGCCATTTGGGGATGTTTCCCCTTATTAACCATGATTTCCAGTGAGGGAGAACAGTGAGGTCGTTATAATTTACCCAGATCTATATATGAATGTTTTATCCGCTTGCCTCGTTCACAGCGGTGACATCTTGGCCATGTTTCCAAAAATCCCCCGTGAAAGAATCGTCAATTCCCAAACTTACTGGTGCGTGCTAAACGTAGGGTTGCTGGATGGGTTGCTGGGGGTTGCTGCGATGATTATAAATAGTTATTGTGGATCATTCCCGAAAATTTCAGGAACCGATTGATTGCAGGTACCGATTCCATATATGTTTGGCCTATTTAAAAAAGGCCTAAATTTCGGGGAATATCCCCACAATTCATATGGCCCAAAATATGGTACTAACGTACCTCCATTTTAGGATCCTGAAATTCGCATTGATGTAGTGGTAAGGTATATAGAATGGAAATTTATATATGGGTTGTAGAATACCATGGGATGTAATTATTTAGAATTAAATGTGTGCATATATATCTGGGTAAATTATCAGAATTCACTATACTGAATTAAGGCCATTTGGGGATGTTTCCCCTTATTAACAATGATTTCCAGTGAGGTCGCAGTGAGATCGTTATAATTTACCCAGATTTATATATATATATATATATTTACTGCCTAACTTTGTCTCCAGTACTATCTGGCTGGTCGGTCGTCGACCCTATCACACTTCCTGGATGGTTTTTCACCATTTCTGTGCGGAGCGCCGCGCCTGGAAATGGCATCTGGCTGTTTTTTTTGGAAGCATGAAACACAAAAGGCGGAGAAATGCAACATAGATCCAGCGGAAGTATGTACTGTATACATAAATTATAAAAAAAATATATATATATATATATATACATATAGATATATGCCATTTGTCATGGGACACGGAGATCCCCAAACTGATGATCATCAGCTTGGATTGGCATAAGGATTCCCACAAAATAGACCATATATTAAATATACGACTGGGGATCACCTAAAAAAGAGGCACCCACGGGCACTAGATCTACGGCGCCAAGTTGCATAAGCTGCTTTCCCAAAGCGTTCCTCACAAGTTGGTTGCTGGTGCTTCAGCGGGAAGCGCAAAACCATGGATCCGTCGTTCCCTAAACAGTACCCCATAATTATGCTCCATGTATGGTATGTTTCCCTATGTTTACCTACAAAACTGGCTGATTTTTAGGGCCAATGTTGGTAAATATTCCAGCACTATGGAGCATATGGGATATGGAACTAACCAGCAAAAACGAGAACCCAAAATTTCATAGTGGAATCGGCCCAAACCAGTGAAAACTTTTTTTTTGGGAGGGTGTCACCCCATACAGTATCTGGTGACAACCCTTTCGCGCCCAGGGAAACTATCTCTTTGACAATCCTATTCGTTGAAACATATTTAGCCATGTGCAAGTGTTACCCTTAGCACAGATCAAAGGGGTAATGGAATTGCGGAAGGCAACCATATCATGCCATGTACAACAGGTGTTTTTTTCCTTCTAGCAACCGTGCTACGAAGTAATCACATGTGCTGGTCTCCTAATCCGAGGTTCGCCCATGCTATGTGATATGAGAGGCACCGGTGGCGCCCGGTGGGACTGTACCATATAAAGCCATGCTTTTGGATGCATATCATATCTCCCTACATAGCCCTTACAATAGGCCTTATATATGCTAGGTGCCTCAATTTCAGGTACCTCAAATGAGCAGCGTTGCCAACTAGTTCTACTAGTTTGTTTTAAATTATTCCCATCAATGGATTGTAAAAATCCCTTTTCAGTGCACTGGCATGGCTGAGCAAAAAACCCAACATTATTGATTAACCCATGGGAGTTTGACACTGCTCTAATGACAATTGAGATCTGTGTCTGTTTTTCAGGGTGTGGTTCAGAATTCCCTAAATAGGGTGCTCACTGTCCAACAGAGATCCTGGCACATCGTTCTTTTCGGGTTGGCAACCCCCGAAACACTGTCAACGCGTAATTATCCACAAAGAGTTTCAAAATGGGATCCCATAATTCAATGTTTAAACTAAATAGTATATATATATAGATAGATAGACAGATAGATAGATAGATATACAGAAAAACACACACACACGTCTTTTTGATATTGAATCCCCCAATTCCAACCAGGGCCTCAGAAACCGCCGGGCCGCACTTTGAAAGCCGAGCATCTTTCGCGTTCCATGACTCAACACGCCAGACCTCGGCAATGCGGAGGAATGCTCAGGTTTTGGTGGGATATGTGGGAAAAAATGCAGAACGCAAGAACCTGCAGGTTATGAAAAGATAGGTGTTTGTAAAAATAATATACAGTATACAAGGTGGTGCCCCATAGATAGCTAAGTTGGTTAACAACTCCAATTTCACTATGGTTTATGGGAGATATATCTATACTTACTAGGGTTTATAAACCAACTTATAACTGGGGGGCACCACATTGTAGGTGATGTTTGTAGGTGATGATTTCTCCGTGGGTATCCCGTTGGGAAGATGACGTCCAACCACGTTCTCTGCCCCAGGAAGTTCAAGTATTTCTTGGCTCACCGGCCGCACGGTCACCCTGCGGTGCAAAAAGGTGAAAGCGTGAAGGCACTTCTAACCTCGGGTGCGAGTTAGCCAAGAGTGGTGGCCTGAAACATGGGGAATCGCAAGAATTCTGCGGCCCCTCTAGGAATCCTAACATAGTCTTATAATAACCAAATCAGTTCCAGTCTTAATGGTTACAATACGTTACAACCCCGCTCTGATTGATACATGGGACTTGTCGTTGTAGTTGTGGTTGTGGTTGTGGTGGTTGTTGTTTTTGTTGTTGCTGCTGTTGTTGTTGTCGTCGCGGTCATCGTCGCCGTGGTTGTATACAATATCATGGCCTAACAAAAGCAGGAAATATGCAAAGACAACAGTTCGATAGTATACCAAGCTAACATACGCCCAAACAACACAAAAATTCGGCAGATTTGAAACATTTTGAAACACACCTCGAATAACTTACTTTCATAAGACACTTCAATGAAACACTCACGAGATTATGTATGAAACATGCCCAAGACAACAAAGGTCATTGTTGGCATTGAATGCACCGAACTTTTTGAGGGGCCCTTTTAGCTGAGCCTGGTCTAAGCGTTGGCTGAGCCACCTCGATATAGGTGTCACTTATGATGCTACTCAAAATGCCGGCCTTCGCCAGGAACTCCTGTCGGATTTCTGCCAAACACAGCACTGGGTCTCCAGGTGGGCGAAGTGAGAGATGTCTGGATTTTGGTGACTTGACACAAGTCTTGTTGAGAGCTGCGGCTGACTCTAAGAAACAATCCCCAACAAAAAACCATGGATGGTTATATAAAGTCGTCGTCCCCAAACGGACGCCTTCACCTTGCCACAGTTTTTGGGCCCGGACAAGCGTAGCTGCAACATCACCTCAGAACGCCATGTCAAATCTCTATTTTTTCAACGAGAATACAGGCCCCACTGTTTTTATGGGGAGGAATCCCTCCTTAACCATCCAAGGTTGATATCCCTGCAACATTCCTTACATATTACATCATATTACTCTAATCTTTGATACCTTTCTGATAAACTTGTGATTTGTTCTTTTCCAAAGTGGATCTTCTTGCACCAAAGTGGCTAAACATTCACCCTGAGGCCTCTTTTGCTCTGCTGATGGAGATGTGTTTCATGCTTAAAAGAACCGTCTCATATTGATGGCCGCAAAGTAACTCATCGACCCATCACTTACCATGACTCATCTCCCTCGCATGGTCCCTCTTCAAATTCAAACCTGGGGTATGTAGTTCTATCATGAATCAAATCCTATCCTAAGTATATCATAGTATTCAATACCCCAGCAAGGAAGCCAAAAATGAATAGATTCAATAGGAAACCAGGATCTCTAAGGAGGTGTTTAATTTCAGAGGGGCAAGATTATATAAATATTGCGTCTGTTCATTTTGTTCAACCAATAATGTGCCGATGGATCGGTTGCCTCAGGAAAGTCATTATCATGGGGCATCCCCACAATTCCAAAGCAGACCCAAACCACCAAGTCATAATTTCTAGTATTCCAGCCCCCAAAATTCAGATGGTTCGTGAGCCCAAAAATTGAAGGTGGTTGTTGGTGGCAAAAAGATCCTTCCAATAATTGCCCTTTGATCATCTGGGTCTGGTTGAACCAGCTTAAGGGCCCTCAGCGCCTCCAAAACTGGGGTCTTCGACGCGACGTCCACTGGGGCCTGGGGCGCCGCCAAGGAACCCAACTACGGCGATAGCACCAGCAACTGGGCGGTAGAAGTTGTAGCTATCTTTCAGTTATAGGATTACCTGCAGGGGAGGTGCTAACCAGGGTTACTAACTTGCTGGCTGGCATGTGCATGCAACGTTTTTGAGAAAGACTGCGAGTAAAACGGGCATTGCCTTTCTTTTGATGCGTTTTGTAATTATCCGGCTTTGGGTGCAAATAGGGTACCACTAAATATCCACTAAGAATGATAAGTTGCGCATTTTTTCCATACATGAAAACCCACTTGGGAGGTATACATAGGTATACCATATTTTCAGACCACATATTGTTCTTGCTGGGGTGATTGAATTTCATCTTGACAATCGGGGTGTCCTCCGACATGGGGGGGCGGCACTTGGGGTGTACAATTTGGAAGGACATCCTAATTACAGGAAGGGGCCCGACCATAATGTACCATAATTATTTAACTGGTTGGTGGTATACCTACCCCTCTGAACAATATGAGTTCGTCAGTTGGGATGATTCTTCCAAACTGAATGGAAAGTCATAAAATTCATGTTCCAAACCACCAACCAGTAAAATCATGCCATTTGAGGATGATTCCTTCCCGGCCTGGCCTGAACACATGCATGGGTGATATAAACCATCTTCCAGCTGTGGATCATTGGCTTCTTGTCACCTCATGGATCACGGCCTCTGGGGCGAGACCCCGAATGGTCTGGGCGGCCCAACGTTCGCAGAAGTCGGCGGCACCCCATTGAGGACCTCGAAGGTAACTGGTTCCGCGAAGTCGTGGAGCCGATGAACAGTCCCATCACCCTGCTATGGCCCGAAATACCAATTCGAAATGGTGAGTTATAACATGTTATAACTGTTTTTTTTCTATAGGATTATCGGAATATTCCATAAATGGGTGACTTAGTATAACATCTTAGAACTGGTATTTCGGGCCATAACTGCAATATGAAACACCCCAATTTCTATGATCCCAATGGAATGTGGAAATTCCCTACTAAACCATGGTTTCTAAAGGGGAGTTTCATATCAGGGGAAAGGGATTACTCCATCTAAGGTAAAGTTACCAACAATATCCAACAATAAACATGTTCCAAAGATATATCCCCATACCATTTTTTTGAAGCATTTAGTCGTGGAAACGCAGGAATTCAACAAAATGACTAAAATATAACTAATGGAATTGTTGAAACAAACCCCCAAGATAGGTTTCAGGACAAATCTAATGCAGTTAAAACAAGAAAAAACCATCCCCCAAATCATCATGTGTAAAGGTGGTATGGTTAATTACCATTCCCAAATGGGTGGTTATGGAAAGGTTTTAACCACATTACAGGAAGTCTCTACATTTGATGATAAAGCCACCGTCTCCTTCAGATTTTCCCTAAAAGGACGGGCCAGCCGGTGTGCCATGTGAACTCAGCACTCAGGATTACAAGCATTGTTGGTGACCTCTGTCAGGTTGTTACAATGTGCAACCATGTGCAACCTAACATATCCGATACAGAAACACACAATCAATGAGAATTTCAGGATCCTAAAATGGAGGTACTGTACCATATTTTGGGCCATATTTTGTGGTGATATTCCCTTACATAGGCCTCCAATTTGGGTTCCTGAGGTGGCCAGTGACACATTGGGATTGACAATTCAATCTTTGTTTGGTGGAGTACCTATGACTTGCTGAAAGTTGAGATGCATGCAGGACATTTGGTAAACCAAACTGAGCCTGAAAAATCAACTCTCAGTGGATGGCTCACTTGACCTTGGCATCTTCATGAACATCCCCAAGTTCTGTTGTTTACGTACCACTCTCTGGCAACTCTTCACACCCTAAAAAGACCTGGAGCGCTAAAATGGCCCCAAACATGAACTCTTTGAGTTTTTATGCGCCCTGACAAATAGGAGGTTGAAGATATATTTTCCAAGAATGAACAATTTCCGGGGTCTATTCGGGTCTATGTTATTTGGGGGGTGATGCACAAAATATAAAAACATATAGAAACATATGACCAAACCCACCAAGAATAGAACCATTCTTCTCTGCCTCGGACCTCCCGAGAAGTCATGACGCAGCACCTGTGGCAAGCAGTGGCTGCAACTGCGCAGCTATCATCGTATCTCCATCCGCTTCATGAAAGTTGCTGTATCGTATATAGGCTAAGATTTATCTGTACAAGACTATTGGTTTAACAACCATATATAGCCTAGCCATTTCATGCCATTTCAGGTACCTCACCTGAAGGTATTGCACCATATAAACAATCTTTTGCGCGTATGTCCCCTTACATGGCCCCTGTGTATCGTAGGTACCTTCAATACAAAGGAGCCTGAATTAGCTGTTGATAACAGCCCTGGGCACAATCCATCAGAATAAGAATGCCACCAGTCGAGTTTGCAGTTCAAGCATTCTTCCAACAATCTGAGGCCCCCCAGTTATAAGTTGGGTTATAAGCCCCAGTAACTATAGTTATAAGTATCATAAACCATAGTTATTGGAGTTATAAACCAACTTAGCTATCTTGGGGGCCTCACATTGAAGGAATCTGCTCAGCAAACAGAATCAACTGTTTCCCATAAGGGTTAACAAGCAATGAATCATCTTTCCAGCAGAATGATACGTGTTTTTGACGGACAATTTCTTGGGTAATGCTTCGTCTTCATACTTATCACTTCTAAACTTAGATAAGCCTTGGCAAATGCTCAAACCGAAAAACTATTCCTTTTCTGATGGCTTATTGAAAAGAAAACAAAACCTCAAATCCTAACAACCATTTACATGTCCCTAGTATCCCAGGTTCTTCCGCGTTGCCCCCCAGAAGATCCGGGGAAAATCTCCCATTGCCGACTCGCACCCGAGAGCAAGAAGAACCCACGCGAAGCTCAAAAGTTAGAGCCTCGGAGTTAGAGGTGGAGCCAGCCTTAGAGGTATTTAGAATCACAGGTACCAAGACCCTCTAACTAGCCATGAAAAGCGGGTGAAAGGCCAGCAATAATGGGTATGTCTACTCGAAGGGTCTAGGAAGATAGATGGACCAAATTGACCAAATGGTAAAGAAATAGATTAGTAAACATATGCAGGTAGATAGACACAAATCAACAAATACACAGCGTGCATTTGCATATAGTATATTGACATCTCAATCAGCAAACAAACTACTAGACCAAGGTTCAACCAGATCTATCATTTTTGGTAGTATACATGCACCTAAATGCTGCATTTTTGCCCAACTGCAAAACACCATGCTCCTGTGTGACGTAATGACAACAAAACAACGAAACAAATCAATTGCCCATCGACATAGCATTTATAATCTGCTTGGATGACCGAGGCAGATGATTTCAAGCTACAGAATTCCAACTTTGTTTTCTGTCAGCTGAAGGCCATTTTTTTAATAGAATTCAGAGACAGGTTTGTTTTCTGTCATCTCACGAAAGCCTGTGTAATCTGCGCTCCTGATTCCCCCAGTGATGAGCATGCTGATGAAGACAATCAAAGTTGCTAGTGTTAATATGACCTGTAGCACGATTGTGATTGTACAGCTCTTATGAAAAAAGGGTGGTATCGTTTGACTAATAGTATCCCCTAATTAAAACAAAACCCTTGTTTATTATCGGGTCTACTCATTTTGGCGGGATATATGGGGGTATTGCCCTATGGATCCAAGTACCTTCTTATGAAGTATATGGGATATGATTTCGCGGGTTAAGTACCTTCTCAATCCTTTTCAGAAAGTGTTTGGATGAATAGGGCTGAATATTAAGGAATATGATTCCTGTGGCACACCCGGTAAAAAACTATCCGTAACTACCCCAAAATCACCATAAATGGGTGGTATAAGCATTCCCAAGTGGTGGGTTTATGGCATTGGGTTGCCCACAATGATTCTTCTGGTCTTCCCCCGGGCGCCCACACCATGTTACAATCCGCCACCAAGTAGAAGGAACATCCCAACCTCTGCTGGGGTCTAGGAGGCTCCCAAAAATATTACGAGGGGGTGCCTCCCACTTATGGTTTGGTGTATAATTCCTCATTAACATTGAATATATCTTGTAGAACCCCCGTTTGGCTTAAGACTGCTTTTACCGTTTTGGTGCAGGACAAAGGGGGGTATTGGTGCACGGCTGGTGCGCGGAAAAGGAAAATAGGGGCAAGGGTGGGTCTGGGAAGGGAAAAATAGGTGCGGGAGTGGGTTCTTGCCAATCTATGGATCCAGTCAGGATCCCGTCGGGACCCAGTCGGGCACCAATTTTTGCATTTTTGGGCACCGCTTTTGGCTAGTCGGGATCCAGTCGGGATCCAGTCGGGCACCAATGTCGGTAGGCAGCCAAATTCATAAAAAATAGCATTTTTGCAGTGTTTTTGCATGTTTTTCGGTGATTTTGGCTGCTTCCCGACAGGTCCAAACGTGGTGCCAAAAATTCGAAAATTGGTGCCCGACTGGATCCCGACTGGATCCCGACTGGCCAAAAGCGGTGCCCAAAAATGCAAAAATTGGTGCCCGATTGGGTCCCGACTGGGTCCCGACTGGGTCCCGACTGGATCCCGACCCGGTTTCTTCAAAAAAACACCTATTTCCTTAAATTTGAGCACCTATTTTTGAAATTTTAGCACCTTGCCGTGCACCACCCCCCCCCCCCCCCCCCTCCGGACCCCCCCCCCCACCAGTCTTAAGCCAAACACGGGCTTGGCAAAATATATCTGCCATAAATCCATATATATATATGTATAAATGCTATATAGTTGTGTTAAGTTAGAAACTAACTTAGCGATTCGGAACTGTGGCACCGTCTATCTCCAGGAACTTTTTGTTTCGCATCTAAATCGCGGCGGGGGAGAATTCTTGTCCGAAGTGAGGTTTATTTCTGCCCAGGCACCCTCTGGTAAACATACAAAAAACTATGGAACATTGCCATTTATAGTGAGTTTTCCCATTTATAGTGGGTGTTCAACCCTTGGTTTTGGCAATTTTCAGGTGCTTCCGACGATGACTATTTTTGCCATGCTCATCGGATTCGTCTTCAACCCGATTCAAACGGTTTTCTATTGCTTCAGCTATTTACCAAAGATACAAGATACCATCTGGCTATTTAACATAGCCATGGAAAGATCCTCCATTTTTAATAGGTAAACCCAGTTGTTCACCATCTATTTCTATGGGTCATCTATACCATGGCTACGTTAAATAACCAGGTTGAGTATTCACTGTTTGATGGGTCAAACTAATGTTTGCTGCTTAAATCCAATTTGATTGGTGGTCTGAAAGGTTTGTGTTTGTCAGTGAAGATCCGATCATCCCATTTCCAGGGTTAAGCAAAAACATGATTGAAATCACCAAGCAAATCATCACTGGGAATATATGTATAATCTCTCCCAAAAAAAGCACCATTATAGTGGGTCTAACCCCTGTATTTTCCAACATTTCCTTACAGTCACGCGCATTTTACCTCCATTATTCCACCATTACACCTCCACTTGAAAGTTAATAAATCATCTACAAATGAGCCACGGCTTCTCCAGAGCAAGCTGTAACAAATCACGGGAAGGCAAGTTGGCAAACATAACTTAGCTCTACTTAATCTAATATGATGGACAGACCCAAATTTTGATCTAACTATAGTTCTGCAAACGGCTATGTTTGCTTACATCGTCATTAGATTATTGTTATTCATTTGATATATATATATACAAGTGGATTTCCCAGCCACGTAATTATTGTTATACCGCAGGGTAAGTCCAGGAAGTCCCCAGGCTTTTCCATCACCTAGCCGCTCGCTGGAGCATAAAACGTTGCCCTCGCAGAACCAGCGCAGCTGCAAACGGAAGTCCTCCTGCCTGACGCGCCAGCCCGCGACAAAGATGGGAATGAGAAACTGCCGGAAAATAACAAGGGTTTTACCAAGCATTATCAATGCATTATCGACAATATGGGGGTTGTAGAAATGTCAAAAAAATGATTTATGAAATTGCGTAAAACTTATGGCTATCTATATATATAAATATATATTTAAATTGGCTATATTAAATTTGCACAAGTCATATGCATTGATAGATCTGGATGAATCATTTAACGGCCGGAAGAGTTCGGCCATTCGATAGCCACTCCTACTAACCCTCCAGTGACGTCGCAGTGAGATCACTTCTTTTGACAAAACAGATTGATCATGTTTATGCCACAAAAAAATACAAAAAATGACAGAATATCATGAAACCTTAGGAACAAGAAATTTGTTAAAAAAAACTGTGGGTTTTTGCATTTTTTCTGTCATTTGTCTGTCATTTTCTTATCATGTTCATCGTTTTTTTTCGAAATGTTGTTTGAATTTCTAGCATGGGATCAACAAACCCATGGACAAAAAATGCAGAAGTCCAAGGAAAAAATAAAGAAAACAAATCAACAATTGAAGAAAATCAAAGAAAACCATTGAAAAGTCACAAAAACACAGTAAAATCATCAAAACAGGAAGGAAATCAATGAAAAATGACAAAACATGACAAACAAATGACAGGGGCAAATGACAGGACAAAAAAAAACGACAGATTCAAATGACAAAAAAACGACAATCCAAACGACAAAATAAATATTTTCATGTACCCCAGTGTGTGGCTGCAAGTGCCTTGTAAGTACATTGCATTTTTAGACTCTTGCATGGATCTTTGATCTTCGGTTTGGAAGATTTGGAAGAGCTGGCAACTTGTTATTCGTATCCACCCGAAAAGATTGAAAATTCACGTCAAATTTGTCGCGCTTGAGGGGGTCGATCCATTGACTGCAGAGCCCAACCCTCTTGGAGCGGCAACACCACGTGCTTCAAACCGCCCACTAAAAAAACACAACTGAATCCAGCGGCAGACACACGCACACACACACATGCGCACGCCGCACACCAAAAAAAAATTGGGGGCCAAACATCATCAAATATCCAGCACTACAGCTACATTCAATTTTTGATGATGACCCACCCAGAGTTACATGATGATGTTTACATCCGTTTTTGTGGTTTCATCCGCAAAGTCAATCATCAAACATCATTGCCTGGAAGCTGCCAAAATCGTCGCTGATCGCAAGGCACCCTCCTCAGGACCTCAGGTAGCAGACTTTTTGGAGCATTTTTTGACGGTGAACTGGCCTCTCTCATATCCTCCATCATGCTGGAATATGTACCAACATTTGCCCTAGAAATCAACCAAATGATAACAAATGTAGGTAGATATACCATACATGGAGCATATGGATCCGGTAAACGTTTACATAGCTATGGAAAATCACCAGATTTAATAGGTAAACCATCTACAAATGGTACATGTTTAAAAGCTATGTTAGTTTACTGGAGGGTAAAATAGTCGGATGATTAATATATGAGATATTGCACCAACACGAAGCATAATGAAGTTTACCGGCATTGGAATTCATAATCATCAACATGTCGAAGGATGATGAGACTTTAAAACCATCGTTTGAACATTGCAAATATTGGGATGAAAACAACTTCAAGTACTCTCTAAAGCCCTGACTTCTCGTTTGAGCTACCACTCCCTGGTATCGGATTTGAAATTCGGCAGGTGGTTGGGGAAACTGACAGCGACAGCGAGGTGTCTACCCCGATAAATCCACTGGTGAATTCTCATGTCCCCGATTTTCAAATTGCCATGTTCAGTGCCAATCTTAGATACCCTGCAGGTTAATAGTGGTTAATAGTGGTTAATAGTGGTTAATAGTGGTTAATAGTGGTTAATAGTGGTTAATAGTGGTTAATAGTGGTTAATAGTGGTTAATAGTGGTTAATAATCAGTGCCAATCTCAGATACCTGCAAAAAAATATATATATTCTTCTCTGGTGAACGTAGATAATTCCGTTGATACCATCCAAGACTACAAGGATTAGTTTCTACCCATCAAGTCGATTGACCTAGTTTTGGGATGTCACCCGCGTCGCAAAAGGTGCGGGATCTCCGATCTCCGTGACCGTGACGTGTCACGCCGTAAGACATGTCAGAATTTTATATACAGACATGGTAAAAATTACCATGAAGAAACCATTGGTATTATACCATTGGTATGAAAGAGTTGGATTGGATTATATATATATATGTATATATATATATATGATTTTCCTATGACATATTCCTATATTTCTGATTTTCCTATTATTTATGTAAAATAATAGGTACCCATGACTGAGGACTTGGGCCAGCCTGATGACATAGGAGTTAGTGCACCAAGTCCTAAGTCACTGGGGTTGTGATATATATATATACACCATCTGGTTATTTAACATAGCCATGGTATAACTGGCCCGTTTATAGATGGTTTTCTATTGAACATGGTGATTTTCCATGGCTATGTTAAATAACCGGAGGGTATATATATATATATATATATCAACACTCATCTGCCTGCCTATTTCGTCCTACCTATACCTCCATATACCGTCCGGACATTTAACATAGCTAACATCACCAAATTTTACTAGGCACATCATCTAATATAAATGGGCCATGTTCATCCATTTCCATAGCTATGTTCAATTACTGGAGAGTATACTGAGAGTGTCCCATTATATCCATTTGTATCCCTATTAGATTCCTATTATCTCCCCATTATCTTCCCATATGTTCCCATTATAACCCCAGATATACTGCAAGCTATAATGGATCTGCATAGCCAATGTGAAGCCAAGACACATAAACCTCGATCAGATGCCAGCAGTTCGCCTGGGCCAAACCCACTTTTTTTGGCTTTTCAGAAGGTGATTTCCTTTGTGAAACCCCCACATCTGTTGGCTCGAGCTTCATATCCGCTGCTGCAATCCCAATGTGTTAAAAAAGCACCCCACGGAGTTAAACAGGCTAAACCATCCCAAAAGTTGACTTGCAACAGCACTTGTCAAGGCCATGTTTGAAAGGAAACCTTGCAACGACTTCTGGCCCTCAAAAGCGTAGATCATTTTCGGAATGAATTTCCATCAGCTTTCCAACCCGTAACTATTGGTAACTCTGAAACAGTGTAAATACTGGGATTATCAAATGATAAACCATCTACCAAGTGGTGCAGGATTCTTCCATCCACAGTATCTTATATCCATATGTGATATCTAGCATCATGTTCTTTTATCCATGCATTTTCCATTTTATGCTGATATGACACATAATTTTCCACATCTATATCCTCATGATATCCCCATAAAGTGCTGGGTTTTCCATTTCTTCCAGGTCATATCTTCTCTCCACCGGAGTGGCCTGCAGCTTCGTCTTCTTGCAACTCCTCAGCCTGTGCGTGGATTGCCGTGGGCTACCCTGCGGCTACGGGGTAAACCTAGGAAAATGATGTACAAATGGTGGGGTTTCCACATCTATGTTAGTTTACTGTCGGGTAACCCATGTCTAGGTCCCAAAAAAATGATGCAAAATAAGTCATGAACTCATGTCCTTACAGTGTCACCTTTTTTTCCGAAATGGAAACCCTTTTTTGTTTTTTCCGCGATTGGGAGAAACAAGGACACATGGAGCCAACAATTTATGCAAACGCTCTGTGGTGAAACTCCCAATGGTCTGACCGCTGTTTCAATCCCTCCTCAAAAACTCCACTGAAGCTCAACTGAGGCTCGGCGCGCTTGGGAGTATGAAAAAGGGCACATCTTTGGCAACACCAATAAGCATCCATAAATTGAGATACGATGAGATACGTCTTCCTCCGGTGTCATCAAACATGGCCAATTTTGCAAAATCCTCTATAAATGGAAGTTTCTAGCTGGGAAACTAGGCTAATTATATATATATATATAAATATTTGATTTTCCCGCAAACCATGTTTGACTTCCGGAAGGTACTTACTGTAAGTAAGTTACTTGCTAAAAACCTTGCAGTTAAAGCCCTTTACCGATTAAGCTTGTTTATAAATGGGGATGCACGTTCCATATAAGTGGGATGACTTACTGACTTATACCTGGTATTTCGGGCAACTGTGTGACGGACCCCGCAGCTTCAGCTTCAGCACCTCCAAAGCCTCCATGGTCAAAGGCGCGTCCCAGCAAACAGCCACGTGCTGTGGAAGGCGTCGAAGGTCCACTGGCGCATGTGGCACAGCCAATCTGGAACCCCAATTTCCAGGTTAAAATGTCTTTCATGGTGGTTCACCCCAGTAGCTGGGTTACAACCCCTGCTATGAGATGTTTTTTCGTAGGGTAAGTAGGGCTAGTTCAGATACAAGTGAGGTGAACCCACTATAACCCACTTTTTCTTTACTAACTGATATGAATTACATGTACAATTTAAACAAATACTATGCGCAACAAATGCTGTACATCAACTCATTAACCAGAATTCATCGTGCATCGTATCGCATACATATGTGAATTAATAATTATATGTATGTGGTTTATACCATGTATATGTTCATCACATATATTGATTTATCTGAAAAGGAACACCAATTTATTTTCGAGCTGGTCACTATGCCCCGTTTATGGCCACATATTTACCAAGTTTTGTTCCGTCCGCTCTTGGTGATTTGTTGACGCAGTGCCAAAAAAAAAACATAAATGTTGCAGCTGGATACGGAAGAGGCACTTACTCTTCTAAAAACAACAAACATCTGAAATGCAGGCTAAAACTATCCTCCTAAATCTGCTAAATGTATGGCGACCCAATCCATCCAGATCCATCCAGTAATCTCCTAACCTCTTGACCCACAACCCCAAATGGGCAATGCTCAAAACATGGTGCCATTGCATTCGCTACGAATGGGAAATCCAGCTCATGGATGATGAGAATCCTCAAAATATATCAAAATATGTCATACAGTGGTAGGAGAAGCAGCAGCATACTTTGGGTCGTGTTCCTTACTGTCCTAAGCCCCCCCCGACTGCATTTTCTGGCATGTAGATCACCTTCGTACTGTACCACGGCAATGTACAAAACCAGGCAATTGCCTAAGCAATCGTTGAGCGCTCTGTGGCGACCACCACGTCCTCTCTCAATTTCTCAGGTCCCGTCGCTTCAAACAAATTCAACATCAATTCGATGCTCTTTTTTCGCCCCGCACCGATGGTGCCTTCAAAGTCCGGACGCGCGAAAACAGCTTGGCGGCCGACGTAAGTACCCTCTGGTAAACTAACATAACTATGGAAAATCACCATGCCATCAATGGGAAAACCCTCTATTTCTATAGCCATTTTCAATAGCTATGTTAGTTTACCGGAGGGGAAGTCCCGGTTTTTTCGGTGCTTAAAACACGGGAATCCCACCGGTTAGTGTCATCCCAGCCAGGGAATCCCACCAGATTCTGGGCAGAAAAATCGCCAAATGGGGAACGATGACCATCACCAATATGGGTTGAAATCCCCAAAAATCTCATTGGAATCAAAGAACACACATAAATATCCCCATATACCTGGTTACGTATCTGTTGTATCATAGTCCAACTAGCTTGACCATGGCATATTTTTATTGATCAAACCCTCATTAGTTCAAATCCCTTGTTGCTTCCCAGCCTTCTCCCCGCGGAGGAAGCTGGATTCGACGTAGGGCCTTAGAGCTGTGTCAAAAAATGGGTAGCTGTGGAAAAAAAAGTCGCAAAATGTGGTAAAGTAGCTCCCAGAACTATAGGAAAGGAACTTGGAAACAACTTAATCATTTACTCACCGACTATGGAAAACCTACTGTTACAGTGACACTTATTAGTAGCAAACTGTTTTTCCCCACCTGCCAGGTGAGGGTTGTTAGATTTTATGTCAGTTGCCTGGTCCTCCTCCTCCTCCTCTCCTCTCCTCCTCCTCTCGTTGTCCTCCTCCTCTCGTTGTCCTCCTCGTCCTCCTGCTCAACTGCGACTCGCGATCCACAGTGTTCTCTGTCGGACCTCAACCACGACCATCCACGCCCAGTGTTCCCTGCCGGACCTCAACCAGGACCATCCCCGCCCAGTGTTCCCTGCCGGACCTCAACCACGACCATCCACGCCCAGTGTTCCCTGCCGGACCTCAACCGCGAGTATCCACGCCCAGTGTTCCTTGCCGGACCTCAACCACGACCATCCCCGCCCAGTGTTCCCTGCCGGACCTCAACCACGACCATCCACGCCCAGTGTTCCCTGCCGGACCTCAACCGCGAGTATCCGGCCCAGTGTTCCCTGCCGGACCTCATGTAGGAAGATATGGGACAAAGAATGTGCAGAAGAAAGTTAGAAAGAATGTCAGAAAGAATGTCAGAAGATATGCCAGAAGATATGCCAGATAGAATGCCAGATAAGAATATGCCAGAAGATATGCCAGATAGAATGCCAGATAGAATGCCAGAAGAGAAGATTGCCAGATGCCAGATAGAATGCCCAGAAGAATATGCCAGAAGATATGCCAGATAGATATGTAAGAAGATATGCCAGAAGATATGCCAGAAGATATGCAGAATATCATGCCAGAAGATATGTCAGATAGAATGCCAGAAGATATGTCAGAATATATGCCAGAAGATATGCCAGATAGAATGCCAGAAGATATGTCAGATAGAGTGCCAGAAGATATGCCAGATAGAATGCCAGAAGATTTGCCAGATAGAATGCCAGAAGATATGCCAGAAGATTTGCCAGATCATATGCCAGAAGATATGCCAGATAGAATGCCAAATAGAATGTCAGAAGATATGTCAGATAGAATGCCAGAAGATTTGCCAGTAAGAAAATGTATAAATGTCATGGTGGGGATCACTCGAAGCAAAGTAATTTTCCATGGTTACCGCCCATTTGACTTAATCATTGTAGGTTAGTATGTGAACTAACATATAAACTACAGGAGTGAAATATGGGAACTTAACTATCTCGGTGAATTCTTAGAAATCCCAACTATATAATGTGTATAATTAATCGGATTAATGGCATATAATGGGACAACAATAATCAACACAGGGATTAGGAAAATTGGGATTAATCACCAACAATATGTGTTTTCCAAACATAGGGTAATGTAGTAACCCCAGTGCCCAAAAAACATCCCCCATATGATTATCAATGCGTGGTATAAACCATCTCCTAATGGTAGGTTTATTATTGTGAGAACCATCCTTTGCACAGTTCGTTCAAGTTAATCAATGCAGTTCCTAACGTTAAATTCCAACTAGCTAGTTATTACAGCTAATTCCTGACTGTTTAGTAAGTGGAATTAAACCACGTGTTCTTACAGTTCCTTGCCAGTTAATTTTCAAAATGAACCTACTTTGATATTTCAAATTGCGGACTTGTTCATGAACATATGAAGCGTAAGGGGAACACGAAAAAATGGAAATCCGCTCAAAAAAAGGGTTGAAAAAGTGTAAAAATAATCTTGGTCACTGATCTGGCGGGTAAGTTTCAGTAGCGGAAATCCAGGGATGCCTTGGTGTTGGTATTTATTTTCCAGCATCCCCCGTTGGCAGCGTATCAATACACAACACATGGCGATGGTGGCTCGAGAAAGTGAGTAAAATACAGCATACCCATGAGACAATGGGCAAGTCACACATCATTCTGATTCGGAAAAATGCCTTGGCACACAGAGAATGTTAGTGTCACTAAACAGCCACTGATGGTCCCTAAAAAGTCGTGACTATCCCTTCTGTGGGTCTCAGGATCCAAGAATTTCTGCATGCTCAGCTGATTCCAGTATCTATATCCCATAGGATCCATGTATGGTATATATGCTAACATAAAGGGGGTATATTGATGGGATCCATGTTACCATATATAGCAGCACCATGGATCCGTCATGGGTATATATTGAAAATCCATTGGGGGCCTGACCAAAAGAATGTGTTAGAAAGTGCTCGAAAACCCGTCATGCGATCATGGGATCATGGGCTCCTGAAAACGCCAATCTGGGAACCACCAGTTTTGCTGAAAATTCTCGGAAGCGCCATCTTTGATCCCAACAAAAATGGTCAGTTTGTACCAAGATGATCCCACCCATATGCGACCCATGGTGCTGGTATATTGACCTACATGACTGGGTTATGTTCAAGGCAAATGTTGGTAAATGTTCCAGCACCATGGAGCATATGTCATGTTTCACAACCAACCTGAAACAATCATTGGGATGAATCTCCGCCAGGAATCATCACCACAGGACATCCTCCGAACTCCACCCACTTTAGGTCACGTTTGGTAGCCCTTGGCTGAATATGGTGGTTGAAAATGGACAAACGCGTTTGAAACCAAAAACGAGCCAACGATTTGCTCTCTTCTGCTTCGTCGCGCATTTCTCGCCGAAACCAAGTGTGATACCAACTTGAAACATTGATTAAGTTTCATGTGGTCATCCCTACTGTATGGCCAATCCTAGATACGGTATCCTGTAGGACAACCCCAATGGTCGGACTCTGCAGGTTGGTTTCCAAAGTTGCCATCGAGATTCTTTTCCCAAGGTCTCTGGATATGGAGTCAATCAAGTTCATATTTGACATGATTTCATGGTGCTTATCGGTGCTCAATCTTCCTATTCATTGTAAGCCCCAAATTAATAATAATATAACTATAATAAGTGACTAGTAATTTGGGCGATTACCACGCAAAAAAATAGTGATATACTATTCTTAATTTTGGATAAAGTCATAAAGTTGATAGCCCACAACAATTCACAAACTAAACAGAACTAGGGGGTTATCAATCTGAGTTACCATTCTTCCGGATAAATATCATTATTCACTAACCTGAATAGTTCGGTCATTTGGAGATACTTCCCCCTAAAAAAAAACATGTTTTCAGTGAGGTCGCTCTCAGAGGTCATTTCCGCGTAAACCCATCAAGAGTTTCCCCGGTCACCAATGCCAATCAGCCAGAGGGCCCCTGCAAAAAATGGACCCAATTCTGGCAGCTGGTGAACGTAGATATTCCCATTAATAAGTATTAATACCAAAAGACTAGTTGCTGTAGGATTAGTTTGTATCCATGTAGATATTCCCATTAATACCAAAAGACTAGTTAGGATTAGTTTGTATCCATGTAAGATTGACCTGGTAAAAATCATGTTTTCATTGCAATTCACCAAGAAATTCTTGGTTGGATCCGCGCTACTACATCCACCCTCCAAACAAAAAATCTCCGGGTTCCCCAGGCAGGCAAATGGACATTGCGCCAACCTGCGCGGGGTTAAAACCTGGGACTTGGACGTTCAACTGGGCATGTACATATATATATATATATATGTATATATATTTATCTATAATATATTATACAATATATACAATATACATTATACAATATATATTATACAATATATATATTATACAATATATATATAAATATAAATATAAATATATATATATATTATGTGAATAGTGAGTTACATGTCAAATCAAACATATACATATGTTAGCTAATTATATGATTATACATCTTTCACCATTTGTCAATATTACTTAGTGGTTCGTCCACCTAGTAAGTAGCTCATCTCATGTCCGGTCACCCCAGCAGTCAACTAACCCTCCTTAGCTTCCCTCGCCTCATTGGTAACAGAACTGGGTTGGCCAGTTCAACATGGAGCCAGAAACAGCCCTCCACGGATTGGTTTAGGGGGAAATCTTCACCGGAAACTGGCTGGATTTTCCAATGAAATATGGGGTTTTCCCGGTTAAACTTTTCCCTTAAACCAATCCATTCATTTCCAAAAGCATTCTTAAAGTTCCCCACGTTTCTTTAATACATATCCTGCAAGAACATTATGCTTAGTTCCTTGGATTTACTTGGCCTGTCATTGTTTGAAATCCCATCCGCCCGAGCGCATTCAATACCCCAAAATGAAAACATCCAATATTAACCCGGTTTCCAGGTACTCAACATTATGGGATTATATCATACGTATTCACTTCATCCCATGATTCGCATTTTTGTTCAAGAGGGCACTCAGATCCCATCAGAAGTCATCAGGTACCTTAGACTTCCAAGTGGGGGTTTCCTAAAATAGGGGTACACCGGTACACCCAAGTCATCCATTTTTAACTGGTTGGTGGTATACCTACCCTTCTGAAAAATATGAAAGTCAGTTGGGGTTCTTATTCCTAATATATGAAAAAATGAAAAATGTTCTTTTTGCGCCGGGTGCAACGATGCCGCTCTGGAGTGCGCAGATACGGCTGAACGTTGCAGACCGCATCAAATGCCGTGGACACGCTCCAACAATTTGCCAGAACCTGTAGCCGGCGTCCCCAATTGTTCACGAAGAAAATCTTCGACCCTTTGGAAAACATCATCCCTAATTTGGAAACCAAGAGCACCCCTGTGACAACACACCCACTGAGAATAAGGTCTGGTAGTGCAAGTCACATGACACACCCGGGCATCCTTCAGAAATTGTTGGAGCATCAGCCTGAACCATTTCGTTCTGACCGACAACTTCACATGATTGAAAAGCCTCGCAGCCTCGCCTCGTGCAACTTCCCACACACCGTTGCGTTTCGCAATGGCGATTGGTCCTACTTGCCACTGAAACGAAATGTACAAGTGGAGAAAAGAAATCCACCGCAACGAGCTACCGGGGCATCGGATGGCGAAAATCCACTGACGGACTGACTCAGCAAGGTCACTGCCAAAGAACTTCGTAAATGCCGAGCCGTGCAACAACAGGTCATCTGGTGCTTCCCATTCCAGCTTTGGACATTGCGAGCTGGTTTGGGCACTTGGTGAGCGGCAGGGACACTGGGCCGACCGACTGGTTGGGACACAGACCACAGGCGACCGACAGCGACAATGTGACGACGGACAAGGTTAGCTATCCATTGATTGTCAGCGAGCTGTCGGGAATGGGCTTCCCAGAGATTCCAGAAGGCTGGTCCTCTCGCCTGGTTGGCGGCCCCCGCCGCCGCATCAGCAGCGGCATTGCCAGCAATGAGCCATTGGTCAAGTTCTGATGTGAAGTTGGCCTGCTTTTGGTGGGCAGGGACCTTCAAGAGCGCAACACGTTCGACTCCAATTTCCCAAGCCAACTTCTGCATCTCACCCAAGAGATCAGAGTGTTTGGAATTGAGGTTGACAGGGACCGCATCACAAACATGCTTCTGGTAGGCTGCAATAGCGCTAGCACTGTCACTCCAAATACGGACCCAGACTCCAAACCTGGCAGCAATCGTAAGAGCAGCAACAATTGCTTGGAGTTCAGCACGATAAGCTGACTGCAACACGCCCGCAAGGGGCTGGGCAATGAGAGGTCGAAATCCAGCAGGTTCAAAGTCCAAGCAAAACGGCGACGCATGAACAACTGCAAATGCTGCAACACGACACTGCGGCTCTCGAGGGAACAAGCAACTACCATCAGTAAAAAGATCAATGATCTGGCCAGGAGGAGGCATGCTGGGCACAGGGAACTCACAAGGTAATGCAGTCAGGTATTGAAGCCAGGACACCCACAGACTCGACTGCAAAGTCCATCCATGCTGTGTGACAACGGCAGGCAAGGTGGGCAAAACCTGAAGGAAGTCAACGGGCAAGGCATCACGCAAGGCAGCAGAACTAGGACACTCCCACAGGCGGTGGTGAATGGAGTCAGCCCTACCGCATTGCAAGCAAGCCGCGGCTCCAGTTTCAGACCAGTGTTGGGCATGGTCATTAGTGATCAGGGCTCCATGAAGGAATTTCCGCAACACACCCTGATCAAACCCTTCAAAGTTTCGGTAGTCATGCCTGGTCGCAAGGATATCAACATGAGGAAAACTTTTGAAGGCAGGTCGATGGGCGACCTTGGATGCCACCACAGATTGCCAAGACATTTGAAACCGAAAAACAAGTTCACCAAACGCACAAGCAAGGAACGAGAAAGGGCCAATGGCACCTGCAATGTTCCCGCACGGCAACACCTTAAACCCGGCCTGATGTAGGCGCTGACACAAGATCTCAGAGATCGAGTTATACACGGGAGCTTCATCGCTGAGTGGGCCAGCTTGGAGGTCCAAAGTGACAGATTGGTGGCTGCCAAGGCTTCTAGCATCTCTGATGGTTTCAAGGATAGCATACGCTTGAGGATCAAACGCAGGCCCTTCCAAACAACACTGCAAGTCCGGGTTGGCCCCCGGCTTCTGTTGCCCAAGTGATTGCATGACAGCCGTTCTAAGAGCTTCAAATCTTTTCTTGCCAACAACTGCAGCTGACACAGCATGCAAGGCACGAGGCCACGCAACCCTGGAAATGAGTTGGACCTTCTGCTTGTACGCAAGAGCCGCCGAACCCAACTTTGTCCAAAAGTCAGCAAGGCCATGAATACGGTCAGCCAACGTGCAGTTGGAGAGTTGGCGTGTGTAAACCACATGAGCACCCAAATCTCTGGTGGCGTTGACTACTGTGAAACCCTGGGCTCTCAGAGCGGAGCGGCCACAGCGGTCAGCAGACCATGTGAAGCTTTTCTTGGCATCAAGCGTGATCTGGAGCATATCCGCAAACTTGTCCACGGCGGCACAGGCTTTGGACATCACCTCTGGTGACTCCAGCAACACAGCCCAATTGTCGACATATGAGATGGGCTTGAAAGTCATGTCAGCCGCACGGACCCAAACATGGAAAAGGTGGGTAAGTCCAACCATGGCCAAGCAAGAGAGTGCACAACCTTCAGGAAATCCATTGCACGACCCAACCCCTGGCGAAAAGGAACCTTGAATCACGAAGTGACGCTGGAAACCTGAAAGCGCCCCAGCCCAAGCAAGAAGTGTGCCCTGGTCAACCCCAAAAAGCTTGGCTGTTGTGAGAGCTGGCAGCCTCGGCAGATCATTGAAGGCTTTCACGATGTCTGCAGTGAATCCGCAAGCAGGTCGATCTCCTCGATGCGCAGCCTCCACAGTTTCAAGCACATGGCGCCAGACCATAGCTGCACGGCCACCAGAAGTATTGCCAAAGAGGAAAGGGTCCACAAGCTGGCTCGCATGTTTGAGCCAGTGCTTCGCCACAATGGAAGACCAAGCCCGATAAAGAAAACTGAAAACAGTTATAGGTCTATATTGGCCCACCGTTTCAGGATTAGGGACTTTTGCCAATGACCGAACATAGCCATGAAGAATCTGCTCCGGCCAGGTCCCAGATGTGCTGGCGTGTCCATAGATCTTGAGCAACGTGGCAAGCTCGACGTCATGCAGCGCCAAAACATCAGCACGGGAAACACCATCCAAACCAGTGGCAGCATGTTTGGACTTCCGACGGGCACACCGACGCAGCGACTGAACAGAAACAACCGGAGGTGGAGCCGAGGCAGGCCGGAGATGAGCCGATGCAAAATCCAGAATGGCTTGCCACTGCGAAGGAGGAACAGACTCATGACGATGCCACAACCGAGACCACTGAGATTCAAATGCCTGGAAAAGGTCTTCAAGCTGACCAGACTGAGTTTTTTGCCAAACAGACTGACCGATTTCGACACCATGACACGAGTCGACCCAAACTTTGTCAGCTTCAGCATGAATGATATTGAGGAGCCCAGCTTCAGACACCAACGGCTGTTTCTCATTGAACTCAACGGGGGAACAGAGCTCCAAAGCACACTCAGATTACATTGATGACCGCCGTAACAGTCGAGACCAGAGAGTCAACCTGGGCAGGGGCTTCACGCCGGACGGCGGCATACATGGCTTGCGCATCGGAAGCCTTCAGCAAACGTTTGGCATGAGATCGGGTTTTGATCAACGCTTTTTCAAGGGAGGCCACTTCAAGTTCCAAACCCAGGTAGAACAATGCAGCTTGAGCCGCATTCGGCGGTTGGACAGGGACCGACTGAGGTTCACCCACCCCAAGGGCACGAGAAGACCACCAGGCCTCAAACGTTGGGACAAAACCACGAGCAGAACGAATGGCAGCCCACAAACTGTGAACATGGACACAATGCGCGGAAGTCTGCAAAGGGGCTTTGGACAGGCGGACAAATGATTGGAGACGGCGGAGTTGCTTAGTCCACTGCACATGTTGAAGACAGCTACCAAGGAAAAGAGGTTGGCGATCTCCAGGTCGACTTGCCTTCAACGGAGGAACCTGCAACGTACGGACCTGAGGCGCAAGAACCGACCCTCGACCATTCATGGCACGGACAACAGGTTTCCGGCTGAGGCGGCGGGCATCATTGTTGTTGGTTTCAGCTTGATTCCAAAAGGCTTGGTAATCTTGGGTGACA